GAGGTCCCTTCCAACCCTGATATTCTATGACTGAGCTCTGCATTACAAGGGGGTGAGGCTGGGCAGCTCTAATTTTACTCTCTCCCCCACAGCAGGTAAGGTCCTTGGAGAGGCCTGGTCATATCTATAGGTTTGTACAGCCCCTAGCGCAAAGACGCCCCCACCCAGCTGGCCTGTAGGCGCCACCCCACCGCAGCTGTGATCTAAAGGGTTCTGACAGGACCGATCAATGCAGGCGCAGTACAAGTGGTCAGCAGCACCACCGGGTGCTAGAGACGGCTGGGAGTGACCTAGCACCCGCTGGGCTCTAACGCGCTTCGTTAGCCAATCATTAACGCCTTGACCAATCCCTTCATAACCCTGTGGAAAGCACGCAGGGAGCGTCCCTGCAACGTGAAGGGTGGCTGGCGAATAACCTGTCACAAGGCTAGTGAGAGCCGGACTCGGGCCGAGGCCACGCTGCCGGCCCAGGGAGGGAGCGTGGAGACCAGACGACTACCCTGGAAGGAATGTCGCGGGGGCGCTCTGAGCACCCCGTCTCTGTTCGCCCGCCGGCCCCAGGACAGACCGCTGACCGCGGCTCTGGGCGGAGGAAGGCTGAGGGGAAGGGCCCGGCGGGCATGCTCACCACGGGGTACTGCGACAGGTCGTTGTAGGTGCGCCCCGCGATCGTGTTCAGCTGCATCAGGTACTCGAAGTTGGAGATCTCCCTGTAGACCCATTTCTGAAACAGACATGGCGGGGCTGAAACAGGCTCTGCGGACGGCAGGGGCAGGGGGGGCAGCCCTGGCTGGATGAGCGGGAGGGGAGTCGCTGCATGGGGGGCTGGCATAGGGTGACCATATTTTCCAAAAGAGAAAACGGGACACCCCATAGGGCCGGCCCAAGGCCCCCTCTCACCCATCCCATGGGTCAGCCCAAGCCCCCTGCCACCCACCCATACAGGGCAAGCCCGGAGCAGACTCTGCAGGGAGGGGGCTGGGAGTCACCACACTGGGGGTGGGGGAGGACCCTCTCGGGGAACAGCACAGACTGCTAGAAAGTCAGGCTTCTCCAGGGAAACTCACCCAATGGATTCTCCCCACCCCGCCGTCACACCCCAGTGGCCTGCACCTGCGGGAGGCCATGCTAGTAGCAGCCCACGCCTGGGCTCCCCCTCGGGCTATTTAACCCCTCAGGTGCCCACTCTGCCCCGGAGCACGATGACCCGCACCGGGAGTGTGACCCCGCAGGGGGCGGCATTCACTTCCCCCCTGCGACACCCTGAGCGACCCAAGCCCAAGTGCTCGATCTCCCAGCGAGCCAGGGCCGGGCCTCTCCCGTTGCAGGGCTGGGCTCACGGCCCGGACCACGCCCTGAATAAAGTGCCAGCCCAGATGGATCTCAGAACCATGACCCAGCTGGGCACAGCTGACAAGCCCTGCTCCCAGGGGCCCAGGGCTGGGACAGAAGGGTGGACCCCGGGAGCTCTGACAGAGCCGGGAGGCTGGGGGGAGTTTGCCCGGCACTCTGCCTGGCTACGAGGCAGCCCCGACGGACACACTCCGCTCTCGAGGAGAGAGAGATGACGCTGGGGGGAGGTGGCTGGAAGAAGATGCTAACGGCACCTGAGTCAGTCCTGAGGCCTTCAGCAGCTCCTGGGGTGACCGGCTGCCGAAGTAGATCTGGTTGGGCGGGCGCAGGCCCAGAATACAGGAATACACCTTATTTCTAACCTGCAGGGACAAAACCAGGTGCATGAAGCATTCAGGGGAGCACACGTCCAGCGTCCAGCCTGCCCTTGAACAAGGCTTTGCATTGCTAGAGCACCTCTCCCCCAGGGCCTCAAAGCACTTGCCCCAGGAGGTGAGGGATCAGGCTCTATCTCCATTTTACAGATGGGGAAACTGAGGCACAGAGGGGCGGTGACTTGCCTCGGTCAGGCACTGGAAGCCGACAGAATCCAGCTCTCCCGATGCCCTGCTCTAGCAAAGACAACCATGCCTCTCCGTGAGATCTGGCCTGTTTTTCCAGTAGTGGGGGCAGTAGGGGCTGGGACGGCCCTACATGGACAAACCACGTGAAAGAGACAGCCGTCCAAGGGCCAGCCCCCCCGGTGTAAATCAGCAATGAAATCAAGGGCCCCACACTGATTTACATCAGCAAAAGATCCGGTCTACGGAATTCAATCCTAAATCAAACGCATGTGCAATTCCCTTCTTAACAAGGCTCCGGAACACGCTGGCCGGGCGCGGCTCCCCTGATTTCTCCATGCGGGGATGGGGGCTGGAAAAGCTGGGAGTGCTACGGGATCACCCCCCCCCTCCATCCCAGTACCATACCACCCTTCTCCTGGCTGAGCTCCGCCCACTTTAGAAGCTCTGTATGAAGAGCCACTTTGCCCATCACCCTGTGTCAGGCCTCTTGCACCAGCGACGCTCGACTTCCTGTCTTATCCCCCACTCCGATCAAAGCCCCCCCGCCCGTTTGAATTCAGGTCACTGGAGCACGATTCCTCAGATGGCAACGTGCCCCAGGCTCTGGCCACATGGGGCCAAGACCTTGCTTTGGGTCTCCAACATAGCCCCATCGGCAGCCCGGCGCCTCCCAGAGGTCTGGGCTGGGCACCAACGCTCCAGGAAGGGTGCCACTGGCTTCCCAAGAGAAGCGGGGGCAGCCCCCAGGGCTGGGTAGTGGCCCCTGTCTAGGAGGGCAGAGGGGATCAGGGCGAACCTTCTTCCTGAAGTTGACAAAGTAGTTGGCCTGGTCGATGAAGAAGAACTCCAGCGCCGACCGGCGGAGGTTGTAACGGCGGAGGTGCACTTCCCGGAGCTGAGACAGGGGGCGCTTGAAGTCATAACCGATCCCTGGAGAAAGGGCAGAAGGCAGGCCAACTGTTACTCCCCATCCTATACCCAGGTACCTCCGTGTACAGCTCCCAGCGCCGCGGGGGCCACCCTGATCCTAGACATTGACCCATCTCAGCCAGCAATTGTCACACCGGGGAGACCCAGCGTAGGCTTCCAGGCTCCGGGTAGCGGCCAGCCCTCACCCGCTCCCCCACGTCACATCTCGGGTCTGAGCTCAGCGCTGGGCTAACCTCCAAGCCAAGCTAGCCTCGAGGTTAAGGCACTGGACTGGGACTCAGGAGATCTGGGCTCAATTCCCAGCTGCACCATAGACTCCCAGCATGCCCTGGAGCAAGTCACTTAACCCCCGTGTCTCAGTTTCCCATCTTCTGCCTGAGTCCCCTTCGTCCGTGAGGTCTTCAGGCAGGGACATCCAGCACCTAGCAGCATGGGCCAATAGGTGCTACTCTCATGCAATGCTAGTAACGAGATTAACAAGTAATCTGACAGCAGCACGGCAGGGAGAGGATGGGGCGGGCAGCCTCCGGTATCAGAGGTTGCGACGCAGGGCAGGAGACAGGCGGGCATGGGCAAGCTCCGGTACCTTCCTCCGTCTCCTCCTTCTCGCTGCTGCAGTCGTAAAAGTAGACGTGCTGCGTGGTGACCTCCAGCCGGCCCTGGATCACAGCCACAATGGTGATGAGCTCGCAGTCCTCGGAGATCACCAGCTTCTCCCTCTGGCTCTGTTCTTTGGGTTCAGCCCTGGAAGAGATCGGGGCGGCATAGCACTGATGAATACGGTGTCCCGCCTGCGCGCACCCCTCTTACGGCCCACGGCCTCCATCCCTGCACACAGCTGTCCAATACGGAGCGTGGGACTGGCTGGTTAGAGAACAGAGGCCGCCTTTAGAGTCCCATGCTGGCCTGGGCCGTATGCCCCACCGCGTGCTCTGCTCCCAGCAATGGTAGCAGATATCTAGGCGCCCACTGGCCTTACCGTGACGCTCTCTGCTGCTCAGCCAATCTTGGGCAGCTTGGCGACTCTCCCTGCACCCTCGCCAGGGAAAAACCTACCATCTTCCAGGAGTACCAGCTTGAGTGATGTGCAGAGCACCTCTGGCCACTGCAGTCCCAGGAAGGAACTGGGAGGGGTCTGCATTTGTTAGCTGGGAGAAGGGTGAGATGGGGCCAGGGCCCAGGCAGGCGAAGGGGGATGGATGGCTCGGGGAACATGGAAGAGGATATAGCGCCTCTCACCTCTTCCAACTATACTGTGCTAGTGGCCAGAGGTCCCAGTCAGGATCGGGGCCCTGCTCTACTAGACATGGGGGGATGTGGTCTCTGCCCCACACTGCTCACAATGTAAAGGCTGCGGGTTCAAATCCCACCTGTGACAGTCCCGGACCAAGAGCGGTTACTGGGCGATGGCTGTTCGAAGGCCGTGACTGGCCCCCTGTTGATGATCTCAGCGGAAAAGCCACAGACTATTGGCCGGGAAGTCCGAACTGCCCCCTCCCGGAGAAGGGGACCACGTGGGGTGACCCGGAGACACACGGGCAGACTCAGACGCAAGCCTCCGAGGCAACGTATCCCTCCCACTGCAGGACACGCTTCGTTCCTGCGCCCTGCAAGGGCCCGAACGGCAACCCAGGGCACGGACCCGCCCGGGAGAGACTCACTGATTGTCCAGGAACTCGAGGTCTTCCTCCGCCAGCTGATCATCCTCCAGCTCGCTCACCTTCGCCTCCTTGGCCACGGCCAGCGGCAGAGGCTCCGCAGGGGTGTGAGAATGATCCGCGCCTGAAATGGACGGAGACTAAACTGGAGACGCCTGGCTGAGCATGGCTCCTGGACAGTCGCCCTGGGGCTCTGCGGCTGAGGGGCCCTGATCTAGGTTTTATTTCCGCAGGCAGAGGTGGGGTCAGGCCTCACTCCCTCCAAAATGTACATTAAATCCCTCTACGTGAAAATGTAACCCAGGCCCGCTCGGTGTGGCGCTCTGTCCCCCTCTAGTGGCACCTACGTGACCCAGGCCCGCTCGGTGTGGCGCTCTGTCCCCCTCTAGTGGCACCTATGTAACCCAGGCCTGCTCGGTGTGGCGCTCTGTCCCCCTCTAGTGGCACCTAGCCCAGCTACAGATCGAAGAGCCTGCTACAACCTTGCCAAAGAGGCAGTTGGCTTTTAGCTCATGCAGTAGAGGCTCATACACTAAGCTTCAGAGGTCCCAGGTTCGATCCCGCCCATGGGGTCTGCCGGCGTCACAGCTGTCTGCACATCAGTAACCTGGCAGAGCCAGGCTCCGACCCAAGCGCACGGGCCCCTTCCCCACGCCGCGAGCCCCGCTCACCTAGGTTGTCCCGGAGGGCACTAGCCTCCACGTGGCGGTCGAAGTGATAGTTGGGGACCAGCTTCAGCCTCATTCTGGAGTAGGTCTCGGCACTCGACAGCTTCCAGCGAATCTCTGGGGGGTTTCTGCGGGGGAGGGGGAGAGAAAAGTGAGCCCCGAGCACCCCAAAGCTGGGAACTGGACAGGGGGCAGCTGGAGTCAGCATGGGGCAATGCCACCTGATCCACAGAACAGCCTGGGCTCACGAGGCCTTGGCTGAGGGAGCCCCCCCTTGCTGCAGGGACTATGAGGACTGTAGACTGAGCAGAGGACCTGCCGGACCAGGGCCCATCCGCCTCCGAGAGCGGCCACAGGGGAGTTTCTACCACACCCCATCAGCCTGGGAGCCACGGGGCAGAGAGGAGGAGGCAGTGTGAAACTAGCCCGGTGGAGAGGGGCACAGAAAACGTGGGAGGGCCAGGAACAGCTGTAAGCCACACTGCCTGGTTGCACTGGGAGAGGCGTGGCTTTGCCACAGCGGGCGGGGCTAACACCTGGGCTCTTTCTTTTCTGTCTGACTTCGGTCAGTCTTTCGGCGGCCGGCCCACAAGCGGGCAGGGCACAGCGGGACATGGCCGCGGCACGCTCCGGGGCTCTGAAATCACCCCCCGCCGTGGGAACCGCCCCCCGCGAGGGGCAGGAAGCCAGGCTAGGATCACGGCACGGGATTCCTGGGGGGGGACAACAACGATACTCCTAACCCCGGAGGATCCAGCAGCCCCAACCGTGGGCTGCCCCATAAGCGCTGAGCTGGAGGGGGCCCTGGGCAGCATCCCCTCCCCCTGCCCAAAGGGAGCGCTATCTCCTGACCGGTCGGCCCAGGCGGAGCGCTGCGAGGTCAGCAGGCGGTGCAGGGCTTTCCACTGCTTCAGGACGCCGCTGTGGTGGTTGTTGATCTGCTTCAGGACGTTCACGTGCCGGATGTGCTCGTACCTGGAGCGCTTCATCACTGGTTCCAGAATCAGGTCCTGGCGGGGGCAGAGAATGAGGTGGGACGGGCAGGAAAGGGGGCAACCACCCGGATCTCCCCCGGGAGGAGACTGCGCAGCAGAGATTAGGGTTTTGCGGAAAGACGTGCCAGGAGGAGACACCCGGCACGGGCCAGTTCAGCCCCGCCCGAGGCATCGACTGGACAACAGCTGTGTGTGTGTTTGTGTGTGTTTTCAAACAGCTGAGCGCCCGTACCTGGAACTTCTTCCTGCTCTCCTCTTTCTCCCGCTCCCTGCGCAGGGAGCTGCTCATCAAGGCATCGTAGCAGGAGTTCCAGAAATTGGACATGTGGTCGTGACTCTTGGCGAACGTGTCGATTTCAAACTGCGCCATCATGGGCTGTACCTGCCAAGGGGATGCAGGGGAGAGAGCCCTTGAACGGCGGCGGCCCGGTTGGGCGGGCGAGGACATATTTTCGGGGATGCTGCCTTGGAACAGGGAGAGGTCTAGCAGCGAGTGTGCAGGACTGGGAGGCCAGGAACTCCCAGCTGAGGTGTGGATTTCGCTGCATGACCCTGGGTAGGTCATATGATCCTTGCCTCAGTTTCCCCATCTGTAATCTACTCTTCAGGTGACTGCATCCCCTCTCCCACTCCCCCTCAAAAATCACTGCAGGGTCTGAGCACTTTATCCTCAACTCCCTGGCAAGCTACATAAATACTGTTCCCCCCCCTCCCCACACACACACACCATTTACCATACGGGGCGAGTGAGACAGGTGTAACGGGACTTGGCTCGGGCAGTCTCAGAGCTGGGATAGCTCCTAGCCCTGCTCAGACCCAGCTCAGCTCTCTGGCCGTTCAGATCTCCTGTGCCCACAGCCAGCCCCGCTGGGCACCCTCCTACCCCGCCCCAGCCATGCCCACTCTCCTGACAACCCCCTCCCCTCGGTTCAGGGCTTGGCTGTCGGCATCTGTGGCTGAGCGTGTTCACCGAAGCGTCTCCCCACGGACACGCACAGCACCACAGCCAGAGACAGGGACAGAGCCCACGTCTGACGCAGCCACGCGGCCCAGCGTCCCGCGGGGACACATGGAGACAGGAAATGCGTCCAGGGCCCCGTCTGATGCGTGTTCCCCCCCCGCTCTATCCGCTCAGTGCCCCCCCCCCCCCGGGTCTCGGCGGCACCCACGTGCTTCTCGATGAAGGCCCTCCACTCGGGGGTGGTGCAGAAGAGCTGGAAGTCCTCGTAGAAGGTGGGGCTGCCGTTGGTGGGGGGCAGCGAGGGCAGCCAGCGCTGCAGCTGCAGCGTGTCGTAGCACTGGTCCAGCAGCGTGCGGATGATGGGCAGGAGCCAGGAGAAGGCCTCCGACTTGGGGTGCAGCGCGCGGCTCAGGGGGCTCTCCAGCTTGCCCAGCAGGTAGCAGGCCTCCTCCTCCTTGGGGGCCGAGGCCGTCTGGAGCAGGCCGTGGAGCTTGACGTAGGCCAGCGAGTGCAGCTGCTGGGCACAAGGGGCGGGGGGGGGGCAGGGGAGAGGCTGTTACACCCCAGGCTCATCCCAGCATGGGGGGGGAGGGGGAACTACTACGGTTTTGGGGCCCTCAGATCCTCTTCCCTGCCCCCCGCCCGATCCCTCCCCTTCCCGGCCTCTCCCTCCCCCCGGCCAGCGGATACAGCCCCCCCACTTCCCTTCAGAGCCCAGCCCCTCCCCGCAGAGAGAAGGGGAGCCCTCAGGGGGCCCCAAACGAGGCCAGTCGGGGTCCCCAGCCTCCTGGGCCTTGGAGGCGCTGGCCCCGGGCCGGCTCACCTGCGCCTCCTCCAGCCCGCTGTACCCGACGAGGACACGCAGGCCGATCTGAGCCATCTCCTTCAGGTCCGAGGTCCCGTTGGCCAAGTGGTACCACACCCCGAGCTTGTCCAGCAGACTGTTCACCCCCTCGTAGATCTGCAGCCACAGGAAGGGCAGAGTGACCCCTCCCGGCAAGGACAGCGACGGCGCTCTCCCTCCCAGCCCCCGCGCTTTGCTTCCCCGGCCTACGGGAACGGGCATCGTCCCGGGGGGCTGCGCCTGAAGCCCAGGCTGGGGTATTTAACGGGGGAAACCAGCTGCAAAGCAGCGACCCCAAAAGGAGGGCAGCCAATGAATCGCAGCAGGCGGGAAAGAGAGAGACCCACGGCTCTCCTGCGGCTGTCACGGCAGCACACCTCCAGCAGCCGACGAGCCCCCTCCGCGGCAGCACTCCGCTACCCCAGGGAGCAGAGCGGCAAGACCACCTTCCCCCCCCCAGGCCCACCAGGGCACCCGCGCAGACCTTCTCGCTCCACAGCGCCTGGTTGTTGTGTCCCTCGGAAAACAAGAAGTCCTGGAGAAGTCTCAGTAACTTGAGCACGTTCTGGGTGAGGCTGGGCAGAGTGGCCGGGGCCGACTCCTTGATGTCCGTGAAGGCCGATTCCAACATCATCTCCAGGAGGCTGCGAGAGAGACAGGGAGTGTGTGTGTGTGCGCGCGCGTGGGTCAGGCATCCGATGGCACCGCCTGCTCTAGAGAATAACCCACTCATCCTCCCGCGCCGAGCGGGGGACTCCAGGTATCCCCAGATGCTACGCACGCTGCTAGCAGCTGCCGGATAGCGTGTTGGTCACGCAGCCTCTCTCTCTTCGGGATCCCTATTCATATAGTCTCTGAGCGCTTCAAGATCCTCCACCCCCTGCCTGGTATTACAGATGGGAGGGCTAAGGGACATGCCCAAGGTCCCACAGGCAGGCAGCGGCAGAGGTGGGAACTGAACTCACGTCTCACAAGTCCCAGGCCGGCCAACCAGCCGCGGGAAGCAGGTGCCCAAGACCAAAGTTTCTCTGCAAAGCACCCGTCCCTCCGGGGAGCGTTTCAGGGGCACGCGCTCTGCAGCGCCCCAACCCGGGATTACCCTGGGCTCTGACACTCATGAACCGGCTGGGAAGCTCCTTATTTCAAGGAGACAGAGGAGCATCTGTACAGGGGAAAAGCCACTAACCCAAGTGTAATGCATTTGGGGAGTGGGGAGGGGCCTAACTCCTGATGTGTGCGGGGACATCATGAAATGCAGCCCACTTGTCAGACACATGAGATGCCCAAGACTGGATGAGAAAGGACAGGTCAGGAGGAAGGGGGCACTGGCAGAGCTGGAGCAGGCGAGGGCCACAGCTGGGATTGCAGGGGGCTGCGGGTCTGGAGCGAGGGGCCCAGTCCTGGCTGGGCATGCAGGGCTGTGACGGCGTGAGCCTGCTGGCTGGGAGCAAAGGACATGGGCTGGGCATGGGGGCGCAGGACTGGACAAGCAGGTGGTTACTAGCCAGGACAGCTACCTTGGGTAACGAATGCGTCACTTTCACAAGCCCACGCCCTCCAAGGTAAAAATGGGGGAGAGAAATGGGCTGGTGTGGGGGCGGGGAAGGACTCTGGCTGCGTAGGGGTAAAATGAAGCAGCTCCATTGGCCGACATGTGGGCCCAATTCTGATCCTATTTCTCCACCTCCCAACCCCCTCCCCCAAGCTGGCCAGAACCCAGCAGGCAGGAGCAGGCTGGCCGCTCTGCCAGCACCCACCTGCGCTTGATCTCGTCCGGTGGCCGCACCAGCTCGCAGGCTGTGCCCAGCTTGGTGAGGACAGAGAAGACCTGCCCGCGCTCCTTCCAGGCCGCGTCGTCCCAGCCCTCCACCCCGCGCCAGGTCACCGAGAAGATGATGTTGGTGAGCAGGTTGCACAGCTCCTCCTCCGGCGTTTGCTGAGATGGGGGGAGAGCCGGAAAACACACGCTCATCTGAGCAGCTGGTCCGCTCCCCATGGGCTTCTCCTACAGGGGATGGCTGACGCAGTGCCCCCTGGTGGAGACAACTGCCCTGCTCAGACATGATGGGGGTGGGATTTGGAGTGGGGCGTCTGGGGACAGAGTGCTGGTGTTAGAGGGCCCTGACTCAAGGATCTCTTGATGCCAACTGGCAGAGGGCACCGGGGGCACAGGGGTTACAGGGATTCTCTGGGTCCAGTGCGTTCCTATGTAGATAGCGAAGAGCGTCATGTACAGCCTCCGTCACACCGGGCAGCAGAACCTCTGGGAACCGTGGGTGCAGATAACACGCAAGGAGACGTGTGTCTAGACAGGAACGTTTGTTCTTAACGACTTGGCGTTAACGGACACGTCTTAAGACGGGTCGCGCTGGAGCGAAGAGACTTCGCTCCCTGCCTTACTGTTGCATTCTGTGCATCTCGGAGCGGGTGGCTGTTTGCTGATGAAGAGATGGTGGGGACTTGAGGGGAAAAAAATTAACAGGAAGGGGTGAACGGCGGGGAGCGGGGAGAACCTGGTTTACAGGTGAACAACAAAAGGCTGGTCTTAGTGCATCTAGGGGTGCAGAGAAACCCTGGCAGCCTCCATCTGGGGAGGCCAGCTGCCAGCGGGCATGGTCTTGTACGGTGACCGGATGTCCCCATTTTATAGGGACAGTCCCGATATTTGGGGCTTTTTCTTATATAGGTGCCCATTACCCCCCCACCCCCATCCCGATTTTTCACACTTGCTGTCTGGTCACCCTACGGTCTTGTGAAAGGCAGGTGTCGGTAAAAGGTGCTGCAAGGAGGACTGGGCGGTGAGCAGAACTTTCTTAGATGGGGGGCATCCGGTTAGTGGAACATGGGCTCCAACAGGCATGTTTTACGTCTCACCCTGTGTTTCCGCTGTTTCTGCGGGCTACCACCTAAATCCCTGCTCTGGGGTAAATCCGCTCCCGCTCGCGATCTGTTCCTAGAGAAAGCAGCACCGTGCACGACGCAGAGCTGCGTTCTACGGTGGGACTAGTAACCGGGCTGGGCTTTGGGGACAGCAGGGCCGGTAATTCTGAGAGCGTCCAGTGGGCCAGACATCGCAGGGGGACACTCGGGAGTTGGCATGTGCCTATTGCTAGCGGCAAAGGGACGACACCAAGCCTAGGAGAGAAGCAAACCCCTCCTACTACAGACAGCGGCACCATTGCTCATCCACTGCTGCCGGCTTCCCTCTGGGCCACAGCGGGAGAGCGGCTCCTTTGCTGGCCTTCGGGGGGGCAGCACCTTACCTGGGGGTTACTGGTATTGGAGACGTCGTCGCTGGCCAGCGTCTCCTGGTAGCTGCTTTCGTCCAGGACGTTGGAGAGGCTGGAGCTTTTGCGAGCCCGCATGCCCGGGAAAGGTTTGAAGTACTCCAGAGGGGAGGGGGTCCCCGGCAAGCTCCCCGGCGTCTGGTTGCCGCTCTCCACCGTGGCGGTGGAGCAGGTGCTGGCCAGGTCGAGGCCGAGGTCGAAGGGCGACATGCAGAAGGGCGAGAGCGGGTGGTAGATGCTGTCGAACTGGAGGGCGTCGGCGGAGGGGGCCTCCCCCTGGCCGGGGATGTCGATAGTGTTGGAGGAGGAGGAGTGGCTGGTGCGGTCCGAGGAGTCGAAGGATTTGAAGTTATAGGAACGGAAGGGCTTGGAGCCGCCGGTCGGGGAGACAGAGTGGTCCGAGAAGCCCTCGGAAAGCTCGTGGTCGGAGGCCTCGAACCCCATCGGCAGGAAGACGTCCAGGTCCTGAAGGTCTGCCAGGGCAGGGCTGGCGCTGTCCAGCCGCTCCTTTCCAGCCTCAGTGCCCAACTCCCTGCCCGCGTGCTCCGAGAACTTCAGGAAGCCGAGGCAGCCCCCGTTGGCGGAGCCGCTCAGGCTGTGCTGGCGGGACTCGTACGACTCCTTGACGTAGAGCTTAGTGAGCGTGTCCTGCCAGCCGGCCAGCTTCGCCAGCTGCCTCACCATGTCGTGCTGGGAGTAGATCAGGTGGAAGAGCTGCAGGCGAGGAGAGGACAGAATGGGGCACGTCACGGACCAGCGTGGCCGAGCAGATCTGTTCCCACTCCCTGCGCCCGCCAGAGGGGGAGGAGTTTGGCACTAGCGCCAGGGCGCTCAACTGCACAATCCACTCGCCCGCCTTTACTGGGGCAAACGAGGATTCGCCCAACGTCTACCAGTGACTAGCCCTCAAGGATCGGGCAAGGCTGGGTTAAAGGGAGCTGGGCCTGTCTACTGCTTCCCGCATTCCTCAAGACGGCAGCACTGCGGGGTAGGGAAACCCTCCTTAGAGGGCCCCACGTGCGGTCGGGAGAGGGGTCACGCCTGCCGCTCAGCCCAGAAATCAGGGCTCCCACATCTGCAGCCCCCACGCTCTGCGCTGGCCTCGCTCCAGCAGCGAGGATGCAACAGCCCGAGCCGTGCCCGCAGTCCTCGAGCAGAGCTCCGTTCACCTCACTAGGTACTTGTACGGCCCCATCAGCGCTGAATCCAAGTACCTGCTCAGACACCCACGGGCCCGTGGGGCCGAATCCCTCCCCAACCCCAGATCTGGCGAGCAGCTGAAACCCGTCCAGCAGAGACCAAGAGCCACCGTCGGGATGCGTTCAGCCCTTCGGTTCCTCCGCCCCTTTGCGGCTGCACGCTGGGGACGGGTCTGAGTTCCGGGACAGCGACGTCAGGGGAGGCTGAAAGCCTTTGATCACGCTGAGCCAGATCTCTGTCAGCTCGGCGGCTCCCCAGCCCTTCTCATGACACCGGCTGGCCGGCTGCCTCGAAGGGTCTCCATGCCTGCCAGCCGCTCAGCTGGCTTCCCGCCCCATGTGGCTCCAAGCTCTTGCTAATCAGCATCTCTCCCCGCCTTCCACTCTTGGGAGAGAAGTGGGGAGAGGGGGTTACGCCTGGCTCCACTGAGCACGGTCACTCAGGACCGCAGCGTGCGAGGGATCTAGGGACACCAGCAGCCCGGCTGCAAACAATGGGGGATGGAATAGGGTGTCTGCATTTAGCCCTGGATGGAATAGGGTGTCTGCATTTAGCCCTGGAGACGGACGGCGTCGCTCTGTCTATGGAACAAGGGCAGCTCACGGCCCTGCCAATATGCCCCTGCCCAAGAGGACAAGATGGGAGGTCAGCCTGCAGGTGCGTCTGCTCGGGTCACAGGCTGCATGGCCAATCGGTGTGAGATGGAGCAGTGCCTTAGTGACGGACGCCAGCTCCTGAGGACGCCCAGCCGCCTTTGGAGGGCAACAGCTTCCAGGGACATGGGGCCCGGAGGGCATGTCAAGAGACAGAACCAGCTGACTTGGGAGCCTGATGGGTTAATGCCCCAGGCCCGAGTTTGAGCCCATCTGGGGCTGTACACGCAGGGAGTGACATGGACTCGTCTCTCTGCACGAGTGCACGATCAGGGAAACCTGCAGAACTCCCCGCCGGACAGCCCTACCTTCCGGCAGGTATCCAGCCTGACCGCCAGCTCCGCCCGGTGGGACAGGTACACCACGGCCATCAGGTCCTTGTAGCTGGGAGAGTCTGCGGGGATGAGAAGCAAGAACGGGCGTGGGACGCGGCCCTGCGGCACACTGACCTTAACGGACCCTTCTCCGGCTACAGCGCAGCCTGCCTTCCGTGGAGACCGGCGGCTGCTCCGAGCCAGCCCGGCCCAGACACTCCCCCACACTTTGCTGGGGAAGGGGGGTTCAGCATGGGATCCCAGGTCCGAAACAGATGGCTGACCCCCGGCTCCATAAATCCCAGCTTTCTTTAGCAACACGCCCCCTAAGCCACGTGGCTGTAGCGCGGCAGGGCCACGGCCTCGAGGCAGGCACCGTACCTGAGCCCAGGACCTGCTCCAGGAGACACCGGAAGAGCAGCATGGACACCGGGGTGTCATTCAGATACGATATGAGCCCTTGGTAGCCGATGTCCTTGAGCTTCAGGCGATACTTGCTGCGCTCGTGCGCCTTCTCGTATTTCAGCATCTTGTACAGGACCTGCGGGAGGGAGAGAGTCGGCCTTAGGGACGGGGCTTGGCGGGAGCCACCACGGGCCTGGGGCTGGAGGCCAGGGGGACTCGGACAACGCCAGGCTCTAGGACTCGCGTCTCACCTTGAAGACTCTCTCCCGTACGTCGTCGGAGAACTTCCTCTGGACGAGCAGCGAGAACAGGACCTCCACGTTCCCCGACTCAAAGAGGAAGGCGTAGAGCTGGTCCTGGGAGGCCGAGTCTTTCAGCAAGCTTTGGATCACCTCCAGAACCCCACACACCTGCAATGGCCACGGCCGCAGTTACACCCCACGGACGCCGACTGGCCATCGCCCCCAGACCACAGCAGCCCCACCACCCTTCAGCCCGGCCTTGGGATACAGCCACGCCCCCCGGGCGCTCAGACGAGTGACGGGCAGGGATTCGGGGGGATATTCACGGTAACGGGGGTTGCTGAAGGTGTGGTTACAGTTGGAAAAACAGCTCCGACAACAGCCCCCGAGGGCTTGTCTAGATGGACAGTTAACGCAGGGTAAGGTGGGGTGTAAATCTACAGCACGCGCCTTTGCTGCGCGCTACCTGGCCCCGGGGACCCTCCTGCCGTGCGCTAGAAGTGCCGTGGTGCAGATCCCAGCGCACGACAGAACCGCTAGTGCGTGGCTGCTGGGTCCGCACGGACACTTGCTAGCGGGCTGTACATTCCCGCCCCAGCTGGCTAATTAAACGAGCCCTTAGCCAATCAGCTCCCTGCGCGTCCCCACCTCCTACAGATTATCGCTCGCCACACACGGTTTTACCCAGGGCCAGCCCAGCTGCAGCCGAGCGAGCTGGGTCAGGATTTTCCTTCGGGACCTCGCTAAGGGCACAGCCTGGCTTCCAGATCCCACGGTGCAGGGCTGGATCTGGGCCCCCCCAAGTAAAAATACACAGCGTCCTCCCGCGCATCATGCGGTCCCTGCGCTGACTCCAGCCGCGATTCCAGCTTGGCCCCGAGCGGTCACTTCTCAAGGCAAGGGCACGGCCGCCATTCGTCACACCTCCGGGACAACCCAGCCGCCTCTGAGCTCTCTAATAGGAGGCAGTATTTGTACTGCAGTAGCGCCAACGGGCTCCGGCTAAGAGCTGGGCCCCGCAGCGCTAGGTGCTGCACAAACCCATGGTAAGAGAGTCGCGGCCCAGGAGAGCTTGCAGTCTGAACAGGCAGGATGAAGGAAGGATCGCTCCCCCTTTTAAAGATGGGAAACTGAAGCCCAGAGAAATGAAAGGTCACTCAGGACGGCTGTGGCAATGAACGTAGGACCCCCGAGTTCCAATCCTGCACCTTAACCACAAGACGCTGCCCCCTAGTGGTGCCTCTCCCGCCGCACCTGGTGTTCATCGTGCACCGCAGCCAGGTAGTTCAGGGCGCTTTGCATCTCGTCAGCAGAGAAGCTCCTGCAGAGGAAGTCCTTCACCAGGCTGAACAGGGACATCTGCACCGTCTTCACGTCGTCCGCGGGAATCGGCTTTTCCTTATGAGCGCTGCGAGAGAGGGGGAAGGGGAGGGACTTTACATTAAGGGCATCGACGACATGGCCCGGATGCGGAAATGGGGGAGAACCGCATTCCTCACCCTCCCCTGGCTTCGCTTTATAGTGCCACCCCCGACAGGGCTCCAGCCCCCCGCCCCCAACAGAGGCAGGCATGGTTCCCGATCACGGAGCTGCCTAGCGGGGCGTGTGGGACGGGAACTCTCAGGCTGCAGGAATCCAGAGCCATGGGGCAAACCAGGGGAGGGGATGGCACAAGAATCTCACCGCCGCACGCAGCGCCCAGGGGGGCTCCGAAAGCAGCAGCGGAACTGGCAGGAACGGGGCAAAGCGTCTTCACCGGGGAGTCAGTTCTACTCCAGCCTTGAGACGCGCCCACCGAACAGCCTGCCATGGGCAGTGGGTAGCGAAGGCCAGGGGAGGTTAAGCATCCCCTAACCCAGATGTGGCCCTGCCCATGCTCCGCCCCACCCATGCTCCCTATCTCCCGTGAAGCCAGCAGGGGCTGTGCTCTAGTTGGAGGTCAGGGGTGGTAGGGCGGCCGGAGCGCCTCAGGCTGCGGAAGTGGGGGGTGAGGGGGCGGCAGCGGCTCAGGGTTCTGGCGGGCGGGTGGGGGCCTCAGGCGGAAGAGGCGGGGCCACGGGCTAGCCTCACCGACTGGGGTGGGGGAAAGTTACCTGCTGCCTGCGTTTCCCCCCCACCGCATGCCTCCGCTGCGGGAAAAGAAACGGATGGGTCCTGGGCAGAGCAGGCTGGAGAGAACAACTTCTCAGACTGCCTGGAGCCAAGGAGCCGGTTCAGCTTTCCCATGTGCTGCCCCAGGACATCCCCTCTTCTCCAGGCACTGAAGGGTTAAAGCGGCTCTGCCAACTCCCAGGACAAACAAGGGCAAGTTGGAAGCCGCGAGCCAGCCTCTAACGACTCACCCGTAATAGGTCCGAATGGAGTCCAGGATGTATTGGACCCCGTATTTCTTGCGGATCCTCTGCTTGTGGTCCTTGATGGTGTTCGATAAATACTGAATGTGACCTGCAGGCGTTGGGGAAGAGAGGGAGAGAGCGGACCCATCCAGAAGATTAAGTAAGTACCTGTATTTGGCAAGCAGAGACAGCCAGGACAGGAAGCAAGCTCTCGGCCAGGAGGCAGCTGATCCCCTGACCCACACAGCGGGAAGCCGTGAGCTGCCAAGGCGCACCCCGCCCAGGAAGCAGGCCCCCAGCAGCGCTCGCCGCCCCAGGAGGCGCTTACCTAGCCGGACGGCGAAGTCACTCTTGCTCCAGATGCGGAAGTCGAAGAGCAGGTACTGGTACAGGAGGTGCAGCAGGAAGCTGTGGCTCTCGGCAGCCACCTGCTCCATCAGGATCTGCGAGGCCATCAGCACGTTCATGTCCATCATGAGGCTGGAGACCTGACGAGCGCAGAGCAACGAGAGCTGGGTGGGCGGCGCCATTTCGATCCCGCAGCCACAGGGCATTCTGGGACTTACTAGTCATGTGACCCACAGAAAATGAACCTGCCTTAGAGCTCTCACAACAAAAGGCGGGCAGATGCTTTCCTAAGCCAGAGGGGGGCTCTAAGGGAGCAGAGAACTTGCCTTTTTGGGTGATGAGAGAGAAGGAGAGAAAAAACTCTTAACACGAGGGGTAAAAGGAACAGGTGTTTGGGTCTCCCCACAACATGTATAAAATACTCTTTATGTCTCCGACACCTCTGAGATCAAGCCATCAGTATGCTTCAGAGTCAACACCCTATTGAAACGACTGGGAGCAGAGGTCACCTATCATAGCTTGTTCCAGCGGGGCTGCAGCCAGCACTGCATGGCATTACGTGCATTCCCTGATTGGACATTCCCCTTGCAGGCACACGCAGCGGCCCAGCGGCCGGCCTTAATGCACCCCGTGCCAGACCCTGGGCTCACCACCGCCTTGTTTAGCTGCCCTAGGTGACCAACGGCTTGGCCGGCTGGCCCTGGAAGTCTCTTACCTTCTGCAGCAGAGCTCCAATGATCGCCGGCCCGTGGCACTGCACGAGGCTCTCCTGGTTCACGGGGTGATGCCGGATAAAGTTCTTGACCAGCAGCAGAAACGCAGCCACGCCGTTCTTCTCCAGTCTGCCCTCTGCAGGAGGGGACGAGAAGGGTCAGCCAGGGACCAGCTCTTATTGCCAAGGGTGGGGGAGTGGGGCTGGCTGCCCAAGGGACAGGTAGGTACATGACCCAGGAGAATTTCAGGGCTCCAGCAGCGCATGGAGGAACTGGTCTCCCGCTGCCCCCCCTCCCAATAGCCACGCAGAGGTTGCGCTCACCGGAGGACTTGCCCAGGGGGATGAGCATTCCTTGGCGATTCCGCGAGGAGGTCAGTTCGGGCCCAACCAGGTCGTGGGTTTCCTGGCTGTCCTCCGATTCTTTTCTCTCGGCCGCCACTTGGTCCAGCAACGGGAGGAGCACCCCCATCCCGCCAACACAGTTCACCACGTCCTACAGGAGGAGAGAGAGACAGGGCCTTGGCTGATGCATGGAGCTTCTGTCCTTGCCAGCTCATGCCGCGCCCCGCGCAGGGCAGTGCTCAGGTAAGTAACCGTGCATGCAAGACTCCAGCGAGGTACCAGCCCGAGAGACCCTACAGAACAAGCCTGCTCAGGCCCAGGGACTGCCCGCCCCTCGGAGTCAGCAAGAGAGCCAGCCGCCGCTTCCCAGAGCCAGCCGCCGCTTCCCCAGAGCCAGCCGCAGGCCGTGCAGCCCAACAGCCAGGCAGGGAACAAGGGTTTAGCAGTGGAAAAAACCCATGTGTGTGTGTCTGTCTCAGCAGCTGTGCCTGACTCCTCGTCACCCACACCAGTTTAACTATAGACCTCAGTGGGGCTACTCCTTAGCCGAAGAGAATCAGGCCCACTGAATCTACACGGTCTGGAGCACTGAAAGCTTAAGTTAGCACCAGGGTCATAAAAGCAAATAAACTGAGCTCTGCATCCTCTGGGCGACCGGTCTCAAAAGCTGTTGGGCCGATCGTTGCCCTAGAGCAGCGCTAGATTAGTGTTTGCGTTGCGTGTGCCTGAGTTGTACAGCGAGACCGTGGACCATACGCCGTGGGCCGTGACGTTATCGGGGGCACTCTTGACAGCACAAGACTGCCAGTGGTTTGCAAACCTGAGCCGGGGATGCAGCGTTCAAGCGTTCCTCCAGTTTGTCAATATCTGGGGAGTGGGTTTAGAGAAGAGCAAGGAAAATGATCTGGGCGCTGAAGGGGCTCTGGGGTACGAACAACTATTGCTCAGCCACGCTCAGTGTAAGGGGGTAATGGGGCAAGGGGAACCCCATGGGTGGGAGTGTCAGAGAGGAATTATTTAAGGGGCACACAGGGAGAGAAGCGACGGGTGAATAGGATGGCATTAAGAAAAGTAAGATATAGGTTAAATGTCAGGAAAATCCCCATGGCAGTGAAATAATAGACTGGAGAACAGTCTCTTACGCCCCAGTGCAGGAGATCTTTCGTAGCAGACAGACCCCCCCACACTCTTATGCGTTCTGTAGCATAGGAGCTGACTTTCTCTGTTCCCGGGGGGACGTTCGACCCCCACTCCTGCCCCCAAGCCCCACCCGCTCCACCCCTTATCTCACCCGCTCTGCCTCTTCCCGCCCCTGCTCCATCTCTTCCCATCTCCACTCCTTCCTCTCCTCCCCCAGCGCCTCCTGCACGCCGCCAAACAGCTGATCGCGGCAGGCGCTGAGGGTAGGAGCTGATTGGCAGTGATGCCAGTGGGTGCAGAGCACGCACTATTTCCCCCCCCCCCATGGGTGCTCTGGGGCTGGAGCACCCAGGGAGTTGGCACCTATGTCCTGTAGGGAAGGAGTTGAACTGGGTGATCTAACCCATGCGATTGTCTGACAACATGACGATGCATCGATCCCAATTTAGCGCTGTAGGAAGCACCCGTGCTACCCAAGACCATGTTTCCCACTGAGTCCCAATCTTGTTGGCCCAGCGCCCACCAACTCCAAGAGCCGGGGGAGACCGAGAGGCAGCACCGTACCTTGATATCCCAGTTCACCACTTTGTGTCCGGTCAGCCTCCCGTCAAAAAAGTGGTTTGGAGACAGGTCCAGGCAGATGTTATTTTTACAAGCCTACAACAGTGCAAGCAAACGACACGTCTTTAGCACACACTATGGCCATGCCAACAGGCTCAACACACACATGTTCCCTATCCTGGCATAAGCCATCACCCGAGACAAGGAGAGAGAAGGAGAGGAAAGGTGGCCTTGCGGTTTGGGCTGGGACTCCAGAGATCCAGCGTTCTCAGCTCTGCCACAAACCTCCTGTGTGACCTTGGGCAAGTCACTTGATCTCTCCAAGCCTGTGTAAAACGGGGATACCGACTTCATCTGGTCTGTTTAGATTGGAAGCTCTTCAAGGCAGCCCTTGTTACAAACAGCAACCTCAGACAGTCACCGAGTCCCTTGTGCCGAACTCGCAGCCCGGGAAGGCAGGTACTTTGGCGGCCCATGGCATGTGATTTAACCCTACCCTCCACACACACCGGGGGAGGAAGGATCTAGCCCCTGAAGGGCTGCGTGTTTACTACAGGAAACATAAGAACGGCCATACTGGGTCAGACCAAAGGCCCATCTAGCCCAGTGTCCTGTCTTCCGACAGTGGCCAATGCCAGGTGCCCCAGAGGGAATGAACAGAACAGGGAATCATCAAGTGATCCATCCCCTGTCGCCCATTCCCAGCTTCTGGCAAACAGAGGCTAGGGACACCATCCCTGCCCATCCTGGCTAATAGCCATCGATGGACCCATCCTCCAGGAACTTATCTAGTTCCTTTTTGAACCCTGTTATAGTCTTGGCCTTTACAACATCCTCTGGCAAAGAGTTCCACAGCTTGACTGTGATGTCTCCTCACACCCAGAGGTCCCCTGCATGCGGGGCTCTTCTGAGCTACGGGCTGAGCAGATGCATGTGGTGAGGATCCATTTTGGCTGCTGTGTGTCATTCCTTTTCTGCCACGACTGCAGAGCGGCACCCAGCCAGACTGAAGGATTTACCATCACCTAACGAGGAAGGTCCCAGAGCTGTTTAAAGCAATTGCCACCAGGGGCCAGCCCAGCCCAAGAGACTGGTAATTCCATACAGAGCTGGTCACCCCGCTGCAGCGTGCCCCTCACCTCTGTAACCCCATCACCCACGTACCTTTCCAGCTCCACCCACAAACTCCCAGCCCCTTGGCAGAGCTGGCCAGCGCTCAATGCAGTGCTCTCTCCAAGCCCAAGGCGGCTCGTCCGAGCACGGCCCAGCGAACCCCCAGCAGCACCGGCCGTGCCAATCCCTCGAGATGGTGCCGGCAGGGACAGAACCGCAGACAGGTGCCCGGGAAGGTCCCTCATTACCTGGGGTGTGTAGTAGAGGAGCAGTTTGCTGCTGAGTTCCAGGAAGTCGCCTTCCGGCTTGAGCGGCGACGTAACGTTTGGTCCTGCGGGCGGGAGGGAAGGGCGAGCGGGGTGAGCGAGCGACAAGCACCCTGTTGCCGGGCTGGCCCAGAGAGCCGAGCGCGTGTTCCGACCTGGGGCTGACCCTACTGGCCAACGAGTGCAGAGGCCTACACAGCTATCCCTGCTCTGATCCCCACTGGTCCCGGACCCTGTGCGAGAGCGACCTGCCCCCTTCTCCCTCCCTGCATGGTTCCCTGCCAGGGCGGCCTCCTCCCAAGCCAGGGGAGCGATGCACTCAGCACCGTGGGGCGTCACACCCTGCTAGCGCACACTCTGGGGATAGGGAGCGTGGCTGGCGTGGGGCCCCAGCCGGGCTATGGAAATCTATCCTGCAGCAGGACCCATGTGGTTAAACCCCCTGTTCGGCCCTGAGTCCCAGACTGCGTTATCGGTGCTCTGGAATCACCGCGCAGCTTGGACGGTCTGTGCACCACTGGGGTGGGTGCGATCCCCAGCCATGCTGCCGGGGATGGGGCAGGGCAGCTCCTACAAATTCCTCAGCGCGTTCCGGACCCTGCCGGTACTCAGGGTCGCAACCCGGCCAGCAGCGACTTGTGTCAGACAGCTAGCACTGCTCTGAGCCCTGCGTGGCCGAGGCCTCCAAGAGATTCCTACTGCCCCTCATCCTCCTGCTCCCACCCTGCACAGAAACACCCCTGCAGCAGGAGAACAGCCTCCCGGGCCATCCCCCGAGCTGAATGAGGGATATCACGCCTCAGGCCGGCTCACTGAGCGAGAAGAGGAAACGAAGGGGGAGATTCTCCCTTTGAGATCCAGAACCTACCTGAGGAGAAAAGTGCTTTGACCTGCGTCTGCTGGAGGGCTTCGCAGAAGATGGACACCGACCCCAGGTGTCCTTCGAGGGACGTAGGGGTCCCCCACTCTGTGTCCTGACTCCCTGCCACTGTCGTGGACACCTGGCCTTCTCTGGGGGGCTGAGCGGCCCCGGGAGTCCAGGAGTGCGTGGCCAGCGAGGCAGGGAAGGATTGGGAGCGGCTGAGGGAGGGGTGGGAGGGGAAGGCAGGCTCTGGCGAGTGGGAAGGCGAGGGGTAAACCGTGGAGGTGGTCGTTGTCCGGTGGCCAGCAGAGCCGATGCAACACGAGGTGAAAGACTGAAAAGAGAGAGGGGGGAACAATTGCACAGAGCCCTGGAGAGGAGGGTAACGCGGCTCTTGCAGTGCGCCACCTCCTCAGACCCTTTGACTTGTATTTAGACAAAGCTCGTCAGGGCAGGGACTGTCTCCTATGTGCGTTTGTACAGCGCCTAGCGCACCGGGGCCCTGTCCTTGGTTAGGGTCTCCCGGTGCTGCCGTAACACGAGCAGGAAGCGTCATGTTCCCAAAGACAGGACTGGCAGGTGGCTGCCGTCCTCTCCTTTCTGTAGCCCCCTTTATCGAGCCCTCTTCTTCCACCCAAAGATGCGGGACTAGGACCTGCCCTCCACCACTGGGCCCCTGGAACGACCGGATTGGGCAGCGCACGATGGGAAAGGAGACTCCTGCGTCTCCCCTCAGCAACGAGGGGCCGCTGTCGAGCCGGAGCAGCCTCCCAGCATTGAACGGGGATGGGGTCTCTGGGAGCTGGTCTAGGACCGAAAGGCGCCTCCTAACGTTATGGCTCAGATACCTGAATCCGAGGCAGCAGAGATGAACGAGACCTATTACTGTAGGACCCACCCAATCCATCTTCCTAGGGCCAAAGGAGGCGCAGCTGTTGTGTTTTTACCTCTTCTAGTTCTCAGTCACCCAGACAACGAGCCGGGGAGAACCCTGGGCCATGGCAGCATTTCTGCGTTTCACACACTTTGGCTGGGAGACGCCCCTTGTTTTAGACCCCGGCCCTGCCAGCTGCTCCGTGCAGAAGGACCCCTATGCTCCCAGGGAGCCCCACCGTCGTCCACCGACGAGCAGCCACTCATGGGGCAGAGCCTGGCTTAGTACGCTGTCTGCCCAGTGCCTCCCTCATCCTGCTCAGCAGACTGGCTGCAGGAAACCCTGCTCCAGAACTGCACTGATGGTTCTTGGCCCAGGAGATCCAGCGACAGTCCGGAGGCTGCTGTCGGAAGGACCCACAGAGCGTAGAGGAAATGACTCCCTGTGCCGACCGGTACGCCCAAGCCTCTCCGCCCACGCCCTGTGCTCCGGGCCCAGCACGGCTATCACGGCACCACTGCTGCATTCGACACAAGGACGTCCGCCTGGTGAGATTCAACTACAGGCTTGCTGCTCAAATCCTCCAGTGATTCACACCAAGGACGCCTGAGGCTCCCTGAAGACCATACACAGCGCTCCCCACCAGCCAGGCTCTGAACTGCGCTGCTTACCCAGGAAGGGGTTAAATCTGAAGCAGGGAGGAGAGCAGACCAGTGGAAAAGCCAGCTGCTAGCCGGGTTGAGCCATCGGGCTCTCAGGGCCGCCAAAGTGGATCCTTTTGGGCAGGCGGCTCAGGAGACAGCGCGACTGGCCGCTCAGGGCAGATGGGCACAGCTCCGCCGTTTCCCCACCTCTCCCTCAGCCGCGGGAAGAGAGGTGAGGGTGCCCAGGAAGGAGCTGGGCAAGAGTTGGGATCAGGCCCTGAGGGTTTCCTTTATCACAGAGCCTCAGAGGGGAGTGTTCTCTTGATGCACATCCTCCTAACACTCCCGGGCCTGGTCGCTCTCCACAGCCTGGCGTCACTTCATCCAAGGTGTCCCCCACTGCCCACCTGCAGATTCTTAAGTCAGGCCCTTCAGATCTGACCTTTCCCTGACACGCCTCCCCCAACCACCCCTTGATCTTTCTCTCTCCCCCTCCCGCCTCCATCCTGACGGGGATAAAACCGCTCAGCCCAGCCCAGCGCTTACTCCAAGTTCAGTCCAGGCTTCGGAGCACTGTCCCAAGCAAGGATGCTTTGCTAATCGGGCTCAAGTAATGTCCCTCAGCCCGGGCACCCTCAGAAGTGTGAGAGCACCGCTCCTCTCCCCCGCGACCTGCACCTTCTTCTCACGTGTCCTTGTACAGGGGAAGGGCCAGAGAAGCAGGGAACTAATGAAGTCAGCAGTGGAAAGCCGGGGGGTGGCAGGACAGAGCGCCATCTGTCTGGGTCACCTAGGAGGCGAGGGGCCTGGCCCAGGAGAGCTGGGAGGGGAAGGAGGGGAACAAGGCAGCAGCACCCAGACGGTCCCCCCGCGTTACCTCATTGAGGGAAGGAAAGCGCAACTGAGCCACTTGCTGCAGCTGCCCGTCTGTGTAGATGTTGACCAGGTTCTGGCCGAAGGGCCGGCGGCCGGTGACGTGGACGATGTCGATGCAGTGCTGGAGGAGAGAGCAGGGCGGGGGGGGGAAGTCAGCGCCAGCTTCAACCCTGCCCCTTTACTGACTATACACAGCATGAGCCCACCGCCCCGGCTACGCTCATCCCCCCTTCCAGACGCCAGGCACTCAGGCTTCCGGGCGCCCTCCTCCCAGACTCTCCCCCGGCCAGCTGCCCCCAATCCAAACCATCTCCTCCTGGAATCGGGGGGCAGCTCAGGACCCCAGATAACAGATCAACGGCGGTTTAGCTTCTCAAGGTTGCGGTGGACGTACAGGGGGAAGGCACCAGCTGCGTAAGACAGACAGCAGTGCTTTCCCCAGCACCGCAGGGCAGGGGGTGAACCACACACTGCACCCCACTGAAACTGCGGCGGAACGCCAGCCAGAACCCGGGCCGGTGAGCGCGGTTAAGCCCCTCTGCACTCGGGAAAGTGGACCGTGATGGCTGCTGTCGGTCCAGCAGCACGGTGCCAGCTCTATGCTGGGCCACGGACTCAGTAGCGACTCACGGGGAAGAGCGCCACCTACCGAATCCCCAACGCATTGCTCAAGCAGCTAGGGGCTCACCAAAGGTCTCCCATGCAAGCGCTGGTACGGCTCACCCCCGAGCAGCTTGCGAGAGCCTGTCAGAGACACGCTCGCAGCCCAGGTGCATACAGCTGCAGTGGAGCTGCAGAACTGAACAGCCAGCGGCTCGTTCCCCAGGCAGACCTGACACAGACCTGCAGCAGTGTTTATTTCAGACAGACGTTTGCTAGTGTAACCCACACACCTTCTGCGTCCCTGACCAGCTTGGCTAATGGTCATTGATGGACCCTCTTCTCCGTGAATTTCTCCAGTTCTTTGGTGAACCCAGCTACGAACCTTCCCCTCTGTGACCTTCAGCAAACTACTTTGCCTCCCAGCCTTATTATCTCCTTGTACAGAGGGGAAACCAAGTCTGATTTACTGCCTTGAGGGAGGCACTGAAGAGACCCTGAACTACTGTTTCATGAATTGCCTGTTCCTGGGCTGCTGTCTCTCTCCACCTACAGACACCAGCCTGAGATATGGTCCGGTGGAGGGGGTACAGACCCCAGGACACCTGGGTTCTATTCCTGGCTCTGCCAATGATCTCCTGAGTGGCCTTGGGCCAGTCACTTGCCCTCTGCTTCCCCTGCCACCCTGTGGCTGTTTGGACTGTAAGCTCTGTGTCTCTCAGTCCATGCATACGCAGAGCTTAGCACAACTGGGCCCTGACCTCCACTGGGATTGCTAAGCGTGACCCTAGCAATTTGCATCCTGACCATCACGTTGTCTTCATATCAGGTGCCGCACCCACGTTTAAATAGGTTGGCTTCAATCTTTTGGGGGAGGGGAGTGGGATCCCCCCCATGACGAAAGGGCTCAGAGGAAACCCATTGCTGTAACTGAAGAGCAGAGGGTCACTGCGTGACATGAACAGCCTGTAGATTCGGAACGGATTCAAGAAACGCTATGGCACGTGGGCAAAGGGCAGAATTCTCTGGCGCCTCTGGTCCAGCCATTGCTGGGGCTAGTTTTAAAGTAGGCCGGACAATCCCAGTCAGATAGACCCAAGTCACATTTCAGGGTGTATGCTGACCCCACCCCGCCCCGTGGCCAAGTGAATTCGAGATTGCCACAAGCAGGATGAAGACTTGATGGACTAACCCATCAGGTAAGGCCAATGGAAGGGCATGGGTTGGCTGGAACAGAAGGCACTGGAATAAAAGGGGATATCCCATCCCAGTGTTAAGGGACCCTACTCACCCATGCAGAATCGTTGAAGGTGAAGTCCGGGAGCGCCACCGTCATATACTCCTTCTTGGTGCACACCGCCACCACCAGCATCCCGTCGGCCGTGAAGAACGCCTCGAAGCCGGTGCCGCTGGCCGTGAAAAAGCTGAAGGGGAAGTCACAAGGAGGAGGGAGAACGGTGACTTGGGGGTTAGGAGCTGGCCTGAGGCCCTGGAGGCCGGTGGAAGGGACCGGCTGCGGGAGGCGTGTGCAGTAGAAGTCTGGAGAAGGACAGTCAAACCAGCAGAGAGGATGGTTGCAGACAGCTTGGGGTGGGAGGGATGCAGAAGGAGCGACCGAGACGCGCTGGGTGCTTTGCGAAAAGCTGACGAGCACGGGCGGCGGGTGGCCCCGCTCTGGGGAGGCTAGCCCCCGGCTCCGCTCCTTCCGCCCACGCCCTCCCTATGGCCGGAGCCCCAAGACCCTCTGCCGCTGCTCCCCCCCCCGCGGCCAGAGCCACAAGACCCCCACCTCCCCCCAGCTGCAGGAGACCCCCCCACACACACCTGGAGGAGCCCCGGGCTGGCTGAAGCTGCCCCATGCCTTGCCTCCCCTCCCCTCCCCGGACCCAACCCACCCTGGGGAAAGCGTCTGTTAGAAGATGCTTTTGATATGCCCCATGCAGGTTCCGGGGTGGCTGAGGAGGTGGTATGTGCCTCAGCCGCCCTGGAACCTGCACGGCCATAACAAAGCAAAATCTTTGCCACCAAAACCTGCAACCGGGGGTCCCGTGGCCGAGCCTCCCCTGCCTATTATACCCGCCGCCCATGCTGATGAGTGCTCAAGGGGAAGTTTCTATGCCCGAGTGGGGTTTTACTTCACCCTGGGCTCTGAGAGTCAAGCTGGGTTCTTCTCATCCCGTGCACCACCCCCAGTAATAAAGGCTCAGCACTCCAAGTTAGAGACGCGACCCTGTGGTCTTCAGATGCTGCCCAAAGCTGCACCATGCACCTCAAACATTGACAGTAGCTGCATAGGTGTGACAGACCTGAGTTTAGCCTGGCTGGAGCTTAGCTATCAATTCTGCTCTAAGTATTTATCTAGTCTCCATCACACTAGTTTGTGAGCACCTCACAGAGCCATATCTATCCTCACAACCACCTGAGAGGCAGGAGAGCTGGGGAACCAAGGCTCAGAGAGGCTAAGTGACATGCCCAAGGTCAGACAGGAAGTCTGTGGCAGAGCAAGGACTCGAACCCAGGTCTCTCAAGTTCCAGACTAGCACCTTAAACACTGTGCCATCCTTCCCCTCATGCAACATTCTGCTAACGTTTATGTCAGGAATTGATATGCAAACTAGACACAATCAACTCAGGATTGAATAAGGACTGGGAATGGCTGAGCCATTACAAACATTGAATCTATCTCCCCTTGTAAGTATTCTCACACTTCTTATCAAACTGTCTGTACTGGGCTAGCTTGATTATCACTTCAAAAGTTTTTTTTTTTCTCTTACTTAATTGGCCTCTCAGAGTTGGTAAGACAACTCCCACCTGTTTATGCTCTCTGTATGTGTGTATATATATCTCCTCAATATTTATTCCACTCTGTATGCATCCGAAGAAGTGGGCTGTAGTCCACGAAAGCTTATGCTCTAATAAATTTGTTAGTCTCTAAGGTGCCACAAGTACTCCTGTTCTGTTTATGTCAGGGTAGACTCCAGCTCTTTCTCCCAGAGCTGTGTGGGCACTGCAGGTATTTAATGTCATTGCTAATGTGAGTGACGAATGCACAAGAGGTAACAGGAACTCTTACTGCTGTGACAGGTAATCTCCTGAAATACCCTTGAAAAAAACTCACAGTATGAAGCATATGTATTACTGTGGGCCGGCACTGGATGCAAATTCTTTATGGGGGGAGGTGGGACAAAGATTGCAACCCCATGAGGTATCTTCAGCGTCCATTGTTTTAAATGAATGGTTCTGTTTGACGGTGTTGTTCTACTCTAGGGGGGGAGGGCTGCCACAGCTCCTCCAGGCAATGGGCGGGGGGGGGGGGTAATGAAGGCAAATCAGCCAGGTTTTATCCTCCCCCGAATCCCTCCAAAGAAGTACCAACTTCTGGGGAAGCTTGCATATACTGGGTCAAACTAGATTCTCCAGAGACCAGCGGACAAAGGAAGGACTTTTGGATAAATAGCCTGGTAAAGTGACTCTGGGCCGGCTTTCTGATCCAACAAACAGGCAGGACTTTGTCCAAGAGAGGAAGGTGGAGGGAGAGGGGCAGGGGGACAAACCTTCTGGGAAGGGTTGGAAGGACCTGAGTGCATAAGGCCCCATGAGGCTGATGGGTGACCTCTAGTAAGCTTAGCTTGTGTGTGTGGTGGGGGGGTTGATTGTTTTCCTTGTAATGCTTTCACCTCAGGAATAAATGTGCTTGCTGGGAACGTATAGCGGCTGGCAACACATTGTTCAGGGAAATTACAGTGTAGGCAGGGAACTGTGCAGCCTGGGAAAACTCTGCTCAGGAGGGAGGAAGACCTGGGCCTCTACCAACCGTGGCGATGGCTGAGGAGCCTAGAAAGGGTACTCTTGATAGACCGTGAGAGGAAATACCGGTGCAGTTGTCCTGAACTGCTACAGTAGCCGCTGGTCAACACAAATTGCCGTTGCTGAGACACAATCCTACAATAAAGGAACCCAGCACTTCCACAAAGCGTACCATAGTAACGACTCCGTCACCTAAATAATCTGAGCTGTGAGGCAACAGCCTTCCGTTCTTAAAACTGTGTTTACTGGCTGGCTGCCTTCCAAACTCCAGGGATCTACAATGGGTTTCCTGTTCACACGAAAGGGAAGGAAAGGAGGCAGGTGGACACCCCCCACTCCCCTCCGCAAGCCCTACCTGTATAGCTGTTTCCGCTTCAGCCTCGTGGGCAGATCTGGCAAGTCTCCGGGCTCCTCGTTCAGACAGACCCAGGCGTGGAAGGCAAAGCCACTCCCAGGCCATTTCTGGATGGCCGGCACCATAATCCCCGCCATACTTGGCGTCAGGTCAAAGTACTGCAGCGCCCTCTCGGACCGGTCCTTCCTCGCCATGCCAGAGAGCGCCCGGATGACCAGCGTGGTGTAAGGGTGGGGCCCCTTGCCGGGCTCTGTCCCGAGGAGCCTGATGAGCTGGCGGAGCTCGCCCGGCCGGATGGAAAGGCCGCCCAGCACCTGCAGAAGGTAGATGAGGTTTTCGGAGCACTTCCGGTCCAGCTCCTGCTCAGCGCCCAGGGCGTCCAGGAGGCAGCTGACCATCCCCGCCTTGACGCAGGTCACGCGGCTCGGCAGGGAGGCGTCGCAGACCCTCTTCAGCCAGTCGGACAGGAACACCTGCAGGTCCCGTGACTTCAGCTCGGGGAGCCACGCGATGAGCATCAGCAGTGGCTGCTCGTTGCGGATGAGTCGGACGGGGAAGGCGTTGTGGTCGCCTTCTACTGCCTGGCGAGACAGAAGCCACAGGGTCACGTCCCTCGGCCCAAGGCCCACCTCCCCGCTGCCCTCCGGCAGGGTCAGCGCCCAGCCTGCTCTGCGCTCAGCCCACGGACGGGCCACCGGGGTCAGTGGTACTTGTGCTGCCGCAATGCATCATGGGGCATTCCAAACCATGGAGAACGCCATCCCACCACGCACGGCAGCGTCCGTAGACGACTAGCGTCTCCGTATACTGGGAGCGCACAAGCTAAAGGGGAGGACGCGTGACCGCTCCCCCACGTGTCTCCTGCCCAGTGACCCGCCCCCCAGCCCGGGGCCGCAGCGCTCTCCCTGCCCCATGTTATCTGCGGTGGGGGGGCTCTCGGTCCTCCTCTCCCTGCGTCTCCCCCGTGCACGTTCGCGGGATGAAGCGGCTTCTGCCTCCCAGCCAGGCTCCCTCAGGCAGAAGCCGCTCCACCCCGCTCCCCACCCAGCTGCCAGGGAGAGAAGGACAGAGCTCCTCTCCCTCCCTGCCCCTGGCATGCCAATCTAGGGGGGCACTTGACCCCCCCATACTCCCTCATGCGTCGCCTCTGGCAGTGTCTATGCACGACTCACACAGACTGGCAGGTGCATCGCACCAAGGCTCAGCTGGGGGGGGGGGGGTGACGGGGGAGGTGAGAGGGGCACCGGACCAGCAGAGGAGGGGGTGTGAGGCTCCCACCAGCCCTAGCTCATCACGAGCTGTGGAAATAGCACCTTGCAATCCCAGACACCACCAGGGTACGTGAGCTGCTCCACCCACAGGACGCACATGACGGACAGAGCGAGGTTTGCCCCGTCTGGAGGCTGGGACGCCGATAGAGGTTTATGGGCTAGCTACTACTGCGAATGCCCCAGAACGGCACCTCTGGAGTCCTTGTGAAGACACGGAAATGGCTTCGCTGCTTGGCAGCTACGTCCATTTCTTTATTAGTCGCTTGGCAATAGCACCAGGGCCCCAATCCTGGATCAGGGCCGCCACCCAAACCTCTTCACTGCTATACTCATGGTTTGCAAGTGGAACGCTCTCAACGGCTCCCTGGCTGTCCTTTCCCATCAGACCCAGATCCTTATTAACGTCCCCCTTCATGCCCTATCCCCCAGGGCCACAGGCCCCCGGCGTGCTTTAATTAGTCTGTTCCCAGCGATGTGATGAAGCAGCTGCTTTTGAGGAAGCCAAGCGCTGCGGATGATGGTATCGCTTGAATGGACGTCAGAACTGCGGCCGAGGCCTCCCATAACTTGCAAACGGAGAAATAACCTTTTGTGTTTCTAACACGAGAACTCTGCTGCCTTATCATTGTCAAGGCATCTTCCCCCAGCAAGGCTTTCTTCCTGCCCTTTGTATTGCCAACTGTCTTCAGCTGACAAGACAATTAAGGGAAGCGGCTCATTCTGCGAGCTCCCCCTCCTCTGGGACCTGAAGTAATCGTGTCTCTTCCGTGGACGGCAGAGAAATCTTGACCCCGATCTCTAGAGGGAAAACCAAGGGCTATGCCTGACACGCTGCACCAGAGACAAACGAACAGGTGGAACGGATGCCTCATTCGTATTCCTTTGATTGTATTGGGGCCCTTTGCTCATGTCTAGGGCCCTGCCAAATTCACAGTCCATTTTTTACGGTCATAGGATTTTAAAAATCAAATTTCTTGATTTCAACTATTTAAAGCTGAAATGTCACGGTGTTGTAATTGTAGGGGTCCTGACCCAAAAAGGAGTTGTGTGTGGGGGGGGGGGGGGAGAGGGAGGTTTGCAAGGTTATTGGTGTGTGTGTGGGGGAAATCGCGGCACTGCTACCCTTACTTCTGCGCTGCTGCTGGCGGCGGCGCTGCCTTCAGAGCTGGGCAGCTGGAGAGCAGCAAGCCCATCCCGCCAGGACTACACTTCTGTGCCCTCGATCTTCAGAGCGAGGACACAGCTGCAGTTACTCACCCGGCTGGGTTAGCGCACAAGGCAGGGACGGAGGGTGGTATGGGCACGGGTATAAAACAAACCACAGGTCAGCAAACATGGCACTGCCCTTGCATGGGCCAAATTCCCACCTGGCTCCAAGGGGGGCTTGCAAAGGACAGACTATAAAGAGGTCAGGCCCATGGAATCACCACCACTGTACTGGGAATGAAGAGGGACCAGCAAAGGACTGTGAGAAAGCAGATGGGCTGTAACCCATGCGTCTCCCCCCGGCCCAGCAGTCCTGCATTAGCAAAAGCCTTGGGCGAGTCACCAGCAATGGGGATTGAACTCAGGACCTCTGGCTCTAAAACTATCAGCCTCTACTGAGACAGTACCAGATTCAAGCCCCTAGCCATGGCCTGGCCAAACAGCAGTGTTGTAGCCTCCCCGGCCCCGCCAATCCCGTTTGGGGAACGGGACACTTGGGGCCGGGCATTGCAAAGCCATGAGCCGCCCTGCGGCAGAGCTCAGCCCTTACCATGTTCAGGAGCTCCTCAAGCAGGCGGGCGGTGGGTTGGCTCTGGCACCTGAGAACTTCATACAAGTGGGAGTAGCCAATCCTTTCTTTGAACACCTCCTGGAAGCAAGACACGCATCCACGTTAAGTGCACGCCATGGCCCCATACACCAAAGCACAGGGCAGGGGTGACGGACAGGGCGTGGAACTGGAACCCATTCGAAACGGTATTTTTACTTGAACTGGAACCAAACTAAAACCAGAAGTCTGTCCTATCTAGAACCTGAACTGAAGAAAGATTGGGGTTATCAGTTAAAATAAAGGGTCTGCATTTTTTACGATCAATATTTAAAAAAAAACTGATCTTATTGTCATTATTAAACAACAAAATAACCAGCAGGCCTGTGCTGACTCCCAGAAAGGCCTTGCCCCCTATAATGAGATGAAAGTGAGAGAAGTAGACGACCAGCTCACAAGAATAGGGAAGGAGAGGAGAAGCTCGGGGAACTGCCTGCACACGACACGTTGCTACGTAAAAGGCTGCTCTCTGGTCCCAAAATGTAAAATAACGCCTCACGCCTCCTTCCACCAGCCCCAGCACCTGGGGCAGCTCCTCCCTCCAGTCGCCCCACTTGAGGCAGGACCCAGGCTCCAAATCAGATTTATTCCTTCACTGCAGAGGTCCAAGATGAAAGAGCAAATATCAGCAGATGCTGTTTTAGTTTTCCCAAAATAGTCCTGTTGATTTGACAATGCAAAAAAACCACCAAGAAAACTCTCATAAAAAAGTTAAAAAAATAAACGGTCAAAAAAAAAAAATCAAAAGTTTTTCACTTTTAAGTTTCAACTCGCTTTTTTCAATGTACTTCCAGTCTGACTGGAACCCGTTCAAACTGGTCACCGTTATCGTTTTTCGGTGGCACACTGAATACAACCAAACCTGAGCCGAGCCATACCAAACCCAGGTCCAACTCCGTGGTAATGGAACTAGAACGGGAGTGAAAAAACAGCCGCCTGGTACAATTTGTTCAAAACCACTCAGGAAGGGTACGTCTACACGGCACCCGCATGGAGGCATGAAGCATATATATAGCTGGGTTGGGGAGTGTGCAGCCTAAACAGCATGACTTAGGGGAGTGGGGTACAGACCCACCAGAACGGTGGGGTATGTACCCTACATGGTTCTCGATACACTCAAACGGTGCCTCCTCCATCTACACTTTTTTCCTTTTTTCTTTCTTTCTTGTCTTTTCTTTAGAGCAGTGTAGTGTCCTGCTGCCTACCTGCTGCCGGAGCCTTTCCCCATTGCCTGTCCCCACCAGGGCCTTCACTGCCCCCGTGTAGCTACACACTGCAGCATGCACGCAGCCTGCTTTTCACTGCGGTGTGTAGCTATATTGACCCTACACGCTGCTGCCAGTGTAGACAAGGCCTAGGAGACCACTGAATCGTGTGGTGATTCTTCACCAAGCTCTCAAGTCCGATCCTAGGGCCTCATCCTACAGACGCTTCTTACCAGGTGCGGTGCCGCTGAAGCACCAGTCGGCCCAGACTCCCAGAAACAGGGACAGAACTGAGCTCCCAAAGAGCAGACTACAGACACAGAAGCCCGCCAGGAAAATGACTACAGAGCCGAGACAACACGGAATGCTGGAATTATCAAAGGAGGTTTTAAAAGATGACCAGAAATCTACCAACAGCTCAGTTTTATTTAACAGAATAAGCATCTAATGGAGACAACAGTCAAAACAAAAAAAAACTCTCTGACAAGATCCAGTCAACTGGTGACTAGAAGGACACAGGGCTGGGAGGGACCTCTTCAGGCATCAAGTCCATTCCCCTACATCATAGGCATCCAAAAATTTATCCAGCATCCTCTTCAAACTAATTTGGTTGTTTGCCCCTACTTCTCCTACTGGGAGGCTGTTCCAGGACCTCCCTACTCCGATGGTTACAAACCATCTTCTCATTCCCAGCCTAAGTTTATTCCTGGCTAGTTTATCCCCATTTGCTCTGTCCTTTAGTTTGTACAGCTCTTCTCCATCCCAGAGTACTGAGATCACCCAAGGCAAGCGGCAAGAACCAACGGCAAGGCCATGAAAGTTCAAGACACCAGCAGATGTTTTCGTTCCCAGACTCAACTTTCACGGCAGAGTGGTTTGGTTGGTTTCAGTTATGCCCTGACCCTTCCACATTTGTTGTGCCAGAAGCTCCCATTTTAGAGATGCCGAGATTGCCCGAGGTCTTGTCACCCGCACCGGGAGGAGTACCTGACTTTGCCCGGATTCCCAGTAATGGCAAGGTGAATATCCACAGACTAGGACACTGCCCTTCAACCTACACAACATGGACTAGCACAGCCTATCCTACAGCACAAAATTAAACCCAGCCACACCTAGCAGTAGGAGCTCTCTTTTGGACATCATCTCCCCCAATATACTCCATTGGTCACAGTCCTAGACCCTGCAGATGCCCTTTGGAAGTAGGCTAGGTTTAGATTCCAGTGTGTTCTCCCTCATGACTATTACTGTTAATAATACTTAGCTCTTCTCATTCACCAATCTCAAAAGTGCTTGACAAAGGAGGTCAGTGTCATTATGCCCAATTTACAGATGGGAAAACTGAGGCAGGGAGAGAGGAACTGGCTTGGTCAAGATCACCCAGCAGTCCAGTGGCAAAGCCAGGATTTGAACTCAGGTCTCCCAAGTCCTAGTTCAACGTGTGCTATCCTCTTGGTAACACAATCTCCCCTTCCATCTACACGTTTCATCCCACTCCCCCACCCTTACAACCGAGCAGAACCACCAAGGGGGTCAGCCTCCCGACTTCTTACCTTGGCCGACGGTGAATTGCTCATGATGGAGGTGAGCACACTGATGGCATGAACCGCGATAGCGTCGGAACTGCTGTCGAACACCTAAAGACAGGGGAGAAAGCGAGTGATGATCACGTGGTGACCCCGGCCTATTAAAATCCGCTGGGCTGGCAGGCCAATCTGCCCGTTTTCACAACTCCACCGCAACATGAGTCAAGCCCTGAACTACAAGGTCACAGCGGGGGCTTGTGAGCAGAGAAGAGCTTCAAGTTGGGTCAGGTCAAGTCGGCAGCCGCAGGGCTGACAAGCACACTCATGTACCGGTGCGAGATCCGAGCTCAGACCCTCTAAGCCGCTGACAGCCTGAGCAGCTGCAGTTCTCACAGGAGCAGTGGCTAGCCGGCCCCTCAGAGAAATCAGACCGTGAACCTGTCACTGGCCAACAGGGAGCGGCCAGGATTTGTCTCTCTTTACATCGTGTCAACGATGGGGAGAAACCACCAGTTCACTCAGGCTCACCCCTGAACAAACCCGCCTGGCCACAGGCAGTTGGGACAATCCTCGTTCTTCAGGTGCCAAAGCTTTCACCCCTACCCAGAGCCACCAAGGGAGCTAGGGGCTAATGGACACCTAGGATTAGATAGGAGAGAGATCCATACAGTGCCACAGCTGTACCTGACCTACGGGAAGGAAGGATCTCATGTCCCCCATCCCTCCCTGAACCCCAGGGACTAGATTCTCTTTGGCAGGCAGGATTTACAGGGAGCACGCTATTTATCTCAGATACTGCCCCCCCCCGCACCCCCAAACTTTGGGAGAATTCAGATTCCCGTTGTCAGGCTCAGATCCACCCGTTTAATATTAAACTCTGCAGGTCACCTCTAGGGACCACATGGCAACACTCTCCTTGTAAGCAGACACATGATGGGTACAGGAGATGACCGCAGGGTAGCGGGGTCGGTCCGTGCCCCCTGCCTTCATCTGCTGCTTTACCTTGCAAAGAAATTCAGTCCAACCGGGCCTTGCCCCTCAGGCAGATCCATTCTCCCTGGGGCTGTTCAAGGCCGATGGAAGACTATTACCCAGTAGGGGCTGGGAGGAAAGAGGGAATGGAGCGGTTTTTAAGCAGGGGGAGGGATAGCTCAGTGGTTTGAGCATTGGCCTGCTAAACCCAGGGTTGTGAGCTCAATCCTTGAGGGGGCTGTTTGGGGGGGAAAAAAAAAAAAGTCGGGGATTGGTCCTGCTTTGGACTAGATGACCTCCTGAGGTCCCTTCCAACCCTGAGATTCTATCCAGCCTCTGTTGTGATCCCGTGACCCCTTTGGGGGCTGGGGAGATTCCCAGGTTGGGTCCTTTCCCCTACAGGGGTGACTAGAGAGTGATGTGCGGTTTGAGAAAGATGCACAGAAGCCCCAAGAAGAAACATCTGGAGGACAGAAGGAGCAGGGCCCTGCCAGACAGAGTGCAGGGCATCCCTGGAGCCAGAGGGGGGATGGCAGAAACAGGGGTAGATGGAGTTACACAAAGCTGCTACCTCCAGGAGCACAGAGAGTTCCTGTCATCGGCCACCACCCCCCCGGAAGAGGACGAGCCAGAAAGCAGAGATGTCCTGCACCCGCTGCCATTAGCAGGGGTTTGACTTCAGTAGGGGCAGGATGTCACAGGTCAGCCCCGGAAGGGAGGTTTGTGCCCTGGGATCCGAGGCCTAGGATTGCTGGAGCCTCCGGGGCGTTTGAGAAGGGAGCTGTCAGAGCAACACGGCTCCACTGCGAGCGAGAGGCAAAACGTGCAAGCGCCGCGTCCTGGGCTCGGCTTTCCCTTTTCTCCACAATCCGGGGTACGGTCGCCGTGCCCTGAGACCCCGCCCCCACCCTTCCAGCCAGCCCACAGCGAACGCTGAGACATGCTCCCCAGCCTTCAGCCTCCTGGCCCAATGCTCCATTGTGTCCCCAGGTTTATCTAGGCTTTAAAACCCCAGCTCAACCTGGGGGGTGGGGTTGGGGGAAAGGGGAGAGCCTCTAGTAATTTTCCCTTCTGGCCAGAAGTGACAGGATATTTCTGGTAAGAAAGAGGGAGACTGGGCCAATTCCAGGTCTAATCTTTTGGACTGGCGGCTTTTTCTATCCCTGCAATAGGCAGGACCACTCAAGATGCATCGCCCAGCGACCTGTAAAATAAAGAGGTGCAGCCAAGTAGCAGAGCTTACGTGGAGCGACTACGGCCGTCTCTCATCTCAGAGCCGTAAGGGTCCCCCCCTCCTCTGAGATGCAATGGAAAGGGGAACCGTCCTGCCTTGCATGCAAACCGAGGTTGGGTTGCCAAAGCATCACTACCAAACAGTGCAGGAAGCGGTACGCCGTGGCAGCTGGAGGCAGCTTGGCTCAAGGGAACGCCGGGCTTGGAGGGAAGGAGCTGGCAGAGGAAAGGTGGCTGGCGATGGGAAGGGTCTGAAGCAAAGGCAAGATCCTACCCAAAACGGGAGACGCTGATCGAGTGAATCAGTGAGGGGTTCCCCCGGCCTGTTCAGCCGACCTGGGTCATTCCCCCACAGGCCGCCCCCTTCAGGGTCTCAAACACTTTCAGCTCAGGCCCAAGGAGGGTTCTGCAGACCTCGAGCGGCCCAGAGGACCAGTGGCATAAACAGATCAAGAGGTCACCAGGCCAGCTGGTTAGGGCTTGTTCCCATCCCCTGTCCCTGAAGCATGCGAAGGTGGAGGAGAAAGAGGGTTAGCCTCAGAGAACTCCTTTTCTGGTGAGCTGCACAAGCTCCGCAAGGGTTTCTCTACACCCCCTCCCTCAGCCCACTCCCCAGGGAAAGCCACAAAACCCCGCTCCCAAGATGCGCATGCATGTCGCAAACCCGGGAGAAGTCTAAAACCAAACGACAAGCTTTCCCGCAGCCGTCAGCAAGGAGCCCGGAGGGAGGGAAGGAGAGGGAACGTTTTATGGCTCCCTTGGTTTTCTGTAATTAAATTGTATTGTGAGCCACCGGCTGTTAATACTTCTCAGCTGTTCCATCTGGCCAGGCGCGCCTTCCTTCGTTAGGAGATTATCTTTGCTCCCTTCCTCGGGAGGGACAGTCTAAGTGGCTTCTCCAGGAAGTTGCTGCTCAGTGAAGAGCCTGTCTGCCCAGGTACAGCCCCTGGCTTCGGAAAACCTCTCTGGGTTCCCTAGCTACCAAGCTGATAAGGAAGGAGGAAATGGGAATGCAGGTCAGAGCCTCCCAACCAGGGGGGGAGGCTCCATCTACTGCTAAAAAAAAAAATCCATTTCAAATCTCGCCAGGCTGGGAATTCAGGAACAAGGTCAGGGAGTGTGTGTGAGGGGGAGATGCCGTTTATAAGCACAGGCTGCAGGAGAATTACTCCAGGCCGTTCATGCAACAGGTCCCTTAGAACTAGAAGGGGACAGAGACCCCCCCACCCCATCACTCAATAGCCCCACTGGGGCAGCTACCCAAGACACCTAGGGACAACTGGCGTTAACTGCTAGAGCGACACTGATTTCAAGGGAGCGCCGCCTGTTCACACCAGCTGAGGATCTGGCGCGTTTCTCCTGAACAGCGGTGCCCCAAGCGTCCGGGTTTCGAGGGGGAGGAAGGACGGAGCTCACTACAGGTCTGCCCGGTGTCGCCCAACAACAGGGCATTTTTCAACGCCCAGTATTAATGTCGCGCCCTTTCCTCTCTAGCGCACGCCTGATCAGTTGCCCTATCATACTTAAGGGGTTTTTAGGGGGGTGGGGGGCAGCAATGGAAGGATTTTAGAAGACATCCAGTTTGACATAAGATTTGGAAAGGGCGTATTCAATGCAAAGGTGGATTTTACGGGCCCGTTCCTGGGTCCTCCGTGCCTCCCGCGGCAGCACTGCAGGCCCGTCCACTCCCACGGAAATCGTTGGGATTTGAGGACGCTTGGCACCTTACAGGACTGGGCCCAGCCCTCCTGACAACACCGCTTGGAAATCTACTCCCAGGAAGGCCCCGGGGTTCCTGGCTAATGGCGTAGGATGGAACCAGCCGGTGGCTCTCTGTTTATAACAGTACGCTGGGCTAGTCTCCTGGCCGGCAACCTGATGGGCTTGGGTTACTTCAGCTATTCCCTTTCTAAGCCTGCCTTCCTGCTCCCCGGTTGCCACGCACGTGGAAGGCTGAGAAGCAAGTAACAGCGAGCCCTTGCCGGGCGGCTCTCCAATGGGCGACCGCGCTATTCCCCTCCCCCCCGGCAGGCGAGCCAGGACGTATTCAGAGCAATGGATGTGAGACTAGCGCGACACATACACACACACACACACGTGATTGGTGCAGGCTCATTCCCAAAGTGCCATCACCTTGCACAAACCAGGGATGTCAGCGCCAGGGACATCCAAATGGAATGGTGGATTCCCCCCCCGCCCCCCATATTTTAGCCTCTGAATCCATCCTCTGTCTTAAAAGAGACAGCGGAAGAGAGCAGGGTAGTAAGTACCTGCTCCAACATGATGCCCTTGGAAATCATCGGCTGCTCCCTTTCCCCAGGCTCTGGGGCACCCCAGCCCCTTTCCTAGGCTATTACACCCAGGAAGGCAGCCAAGAGCGGGTTCAAAGAGCCTCACAAAGCCATTGGCAAGGTGAGGTGGCTGGGTTATTTCTCACCTAGTCACGGGGCACAGGAGACCTGCCTTGGGCACAAGACTATGGCAGGGGCCAGTCGTGCTGTGCTGTCAGAGCTTAAATCCACCCGGGCTCCCAAAGCAGGCACTGAAGGGCTGGCAGGACGGGGAGGGGGCAGGATGGCCTGGCGGGGAAGGCACTGGACTGGGACCCAGGAGATCTGGGTCCAATTCAGCTCAGCTTGGCAGTGACCTTGGGGAAGGATGGATTGCCTTCCTCTGGAGTGCAGGGCACTTGCTGGGGTTTTCTGGGTATCTCTGCCTTTGCAGGGGCATCGGGCACTAGTGCATCTCGGTCCCTGATAGTCTATGCTTGGGGCACATCATAGTCTAGTCTCCTGCGAGCTGTGATACTTCGGTCTCAGTTCAGTTTCGGTTGGGTGGGCTGATGGGAGTGGCCCAGGTCATGCGACAGGCCAGAGCAGATGATCTGGGGGGGCCCTTCTGGCCTTGAACTTCATGACTCTGACTCTAGGACTCCATGCAGCACCCTGCCTCAGTTTCCCCATCTGGAAAAGGGGGAGGAGAATACCGGCCTGTCTCTCGCTCCTAGGGCTGTTGGGAGGCACTACGGTACTATGAGTGGAGCACATCCGTAACGGTCGGCTCTGCTCAGAGATCCAATCCCGGTCTGTGTGAACGTAAAATGAATTTTAGCAGGGGCGGGCGAAGGGCGAGGTTGTGTGGTTTAGACAGGGGCCTGCCAGGCACCCACCTCGGTCCATTGCCAGCCCCTGGGGCTTTGCCTCAGTTTCCCCAATCAGGGCCAAGCCCTTGGGGACAGAAAGCACCAAGCAAGGATAAAATCTCACCCTCCATTTGGGATACGCCACCCCCCATCCAAGCCAACAGGCGCTGGGCCAGCTCAGGTCTTATTTCCTTCCCTCCTCTAGCTGGACGGTGCAGGGAGAACTTGCCTGACAGCTGGGCACAGAACCACGGGCAAAAACGTGGCATCCCCTCCCCCTCCACCCCCCCGGGCTTGATGGCGCTGCTGACATCACCCGGTTTGTTGCAGCGGAAAAGAAATTAACGAAAGCAGCCACAGCCTGAGCGTTGCCCTGGCCACCACCAGCGACGTGCAATACCTTCTGGACATCGCTCTCGGTCAGTAAGCGTGCGGCGAGCTCGCTCCCCGTCTCGTCCGCTTTACGCGCCCCGCTCACGTAGAGCTGTCGAAAAGGTGGTCAGAAAAGCTTACGTCAGCCACGGGGAAAGAGAGAGAGAGGGTTAAGCACACCACGGACGGGCACACCTAGGAGGAACCTAGGCTGGGCTTTCAACCATTCTGCATCGTCGCCGGGACACCGCTCCAACCTGGACGCCCTCCCAGAGCCCGAGGGTGCAGCGATCTGGGACAGGGTCCAGGGGAGAGATACTGACCCCCATAGGCCCTGGATCAGGTTCTAAACTCTGGCCCGCAGCCTGCCTCTGACATATGGTTTATGAAGTCTCGTCTCCGCAGCCTCAGATCAGCTGGCATTTCTCCTATGCACGGACTTTAAATGGCAGGGGAGAGCATGGCGGGGCGGGGCGGGGGGGAAACAAGGCAGATCCTGAAATCTTAATGCTGGAAGTGGATTGTAAAACGGCCTGGTAGCAATTGCTCCTGGGAACCGGCAATGGAACTTTCCCCTCCAGGTCACTGAGCCGAAGGCCACCCGGGGAATTAGCGCCTGAGTAAGCCCCGCTGTTTAGTGGCATCTATGAAGCAAGTTCGGGGGGAATCTCACTCCAGCTGCCACGCACATCACAGAGACCGCCACCGGCGCCTCTGCCGTAAGCCTCTGCGGAGCAGGCCGGAGACAAGGAACGTGGATGGGGCAGCCTGTGCCTGGGGAAGGCTGCATTCTTCCAGTCTTGGCTGCGGGGATAATACAGGGCTCGCCAATCTGGGCTTCAGTCTGGCCCCATCAACCCGCCTGAGTCAATTTGCTTTCAAGAACCGGATTGTCATGGTCTTCTCCGGCTCTTCCCAGCACGGCAAGGCTGGGCAGAAACCAGCGAGGATCAGAGGAATCGGAATGCCTTGTGGGGCGGGGGAGTCTCAAGCGCCCTTGCTCTGTGCCAGGTTCCAGGGCTCGGTCTCTAGCTTTTAGGGGGGCAGAGGAAGGAAAGCTGGTCTCATCTGGGGAGCAAAGAACAGGACACAGGAAAAACAGTTCAGAGAAGGGCCTATCAGCAGTCAGGTTCTGCTCTCCACCATCACACCAGCACAGCACCGGAGCCATGCCACTGAAATCACTGGTGTTACTCTGGGCGTGACAGCATAACTGAGCTCCAAATCCATCCCTGGGTGCCTGGAGAGGGGGTGATCTCTGAAACCAGCTCAGGGCACAGAGTCATTTAGCCGTGTTGTGAACATGCTTATGGGCAGCAGGCCAAGCACCTTCCACACAGATTATTCCATGGCTAACGTAAGGCCAGACCCAAGTGACGCCGGCTACGTGAACGAAACACTGACTCTTCAGGATTGGGCCCACGTACAACGCAAGATTGAAAAGCATCACGTGGTTATGTGCACAGGGGATGTCCGGTTACCCTGCAGAGTAGACCTTAGTCCCCCTGCTAAGTGCAGTCTCCCTCTGCTACCAGCCATTGCTCCCCTAATCTCAGAGTAGCTGTCACTCCCTCCCTGCATTGTGGGGCTTGCTGGAGGGGTATCGCTTGGAGGTTTCAATCTTAACTCACCGCCAATGTATTAAAATACCATCAGGCCTGGTGTTGAGTCACCTATGCAGCCTGTCTTTCCCACAATCCCCTGGGATCTCACTTCCTGGTGACAGCGCCCTGGAAAGATGGGGAATGGCTGGCCTCGACAATCAGCGACGTCCCAACATGGGGTCTGCAGGCACAGCCTTTGCACAGACAGCATCATTTCACAAATACGAACGGCAATGGCTCACAGAGCCCTAGGCAGACACGCAGACTGCCTGGGAGAGCCAGACATCCATACCTGCCTCCCACCCCCGAGGCCATGTCGTAGGACGCTGGAGAACCAAGGCGGGGTCCCTCCCCTGGGGGGACCTTTACATGGTCTAATGGAGCTCCCCATTAGGAGACTTGCCCCGCAATTTCATTTGAGATTTACCTTTGCTCTAGGGCTGTCAAGTGATTAAAAAAATTAATCGCGATTATTCGCGCTGTTAAACAATAGAATATCATTTATTTTAAATATTTTTGGATGTTTACTACATTTTCAAAGATATTAATTTCAATTATAACACAGAATACAAAGTCTACAGTGCTCACTTTATTTTTGATTACAAATATTTGCACTATAAAAAACAAAAAACCAAATGTATTTTTCAATTCACCTCATACAGGTACTGTAGTGCAATCTCTTTACCATGAAAGTTGAACTTACACATGGAGAATTATGTACAAAAAACCACATTCAAAAATAAAATAATGTAAAATTTTAGCGCCTACAAGTCCACTCAGTCCTACTTCTTGGTCAGACAATCACTCAGACAAACAAGGTTGGCTACAATTTGTAGGAGATAATGCTCTCTGCTTCTTGTTTACAATGTCACCTGAAAGTGAGAACAGGCGTTCGCATGGCACTGATGTAGCCGGCATCACAAGATATTTACGTGCCAGATGCGCTAAAGATTCATATGTCCCTTCATGCTTCAACTACCATCCCAGAGGACATGCGTCCATGCTGATGACTGGTTCTGCTCGATAACAATCCAAAGCAGTGCGGACCGACGCATGCTCATTTTCACCATCTGAGTCAGATGCCACCAGCAGAAGGTTGATTTTCTTTTTTGGTGGTGTGGGTTCTGTAGTTTCAGCATCAGTGTTGCTCTTTTAAGCATTCTAAAAGCCTGCCCCACACCTCGTCCCTCTCAGATTTTGGACGGCACTTCAGATTCTTAAACCTTGGGTCGAGTGCTGTAGCTATTTTTAGAAATCTCACATCGGTACCTTCTTTGTGTTTTGTCAAATCTGCTGTGAAAGTGTTCTTAAAACGAACATGTGCTGGGTCATCATCCGAGACTGCTATAACATGAAAGATATGGCAGAATGGGGGTAAAACAGAGCAGGAGACGTACAATTCTCCCCCAAGGAGTTCTGTCACAAATTTAATTGATGCATTCTTTTTTTAACGAGCATTATTAGCATGGAAGCATGTCCTCTGGAATGGTGGCCGAAGCATGAAGGAGCATATGAATATTTAGCATATCTGGCACGCAAATACCTTGCAACACTGGCTACAAAAGTGCCATGTGAACATCTGTTCACATTTTCAGGTGACATTGTAAATAAGAAGCAGGCAGCATTATCTCCCGTCAATGTAAACAAACTTGTTTGTCTGAGCGATTGGCAGAATAAGAAGTAGGACTGAATGGACTTGTAGGCTCTAAAGTTTTACACTGTTTTGTTTTTAAGTGCAGTTATGTAATCAAAAAAAATCTGCATTTGTAAGTTACACTTTCACAATAAAGAGATTGCACTTCAGTACTTGTATGAGGTGAACTGAAAAATACTATTGCTTTTGTTTATCATTTTACAGCGCATATATTTGTAATAAAAAATAATATTAAGTGAGCACTGTGCACTTTGCATTCTGTGTTGTAATTGAAATCAATACTGAAAATGTAGAAAAAAATCCAAAAATATTTAATACATTTCAATTGGTATTCTATTGTTATAAGTGTGAGTAATTGCGATTCATTTTTTAAAATCACGATTCATTTTTCTGAGTGAATCGCGTGAGTTAACTGCGATTAACAGCCCGACTTTACTCAGTTCCATCTCATTACATCCAGTTATCCCATCCTACTGCAGAGTCACAGAAGATCTCCTGAAAGTCTCATAACAACAGAACCCTACTAGTTCTCCAGTTGTCCATAGCGTCCTCCCGGAAAGACAGGGTGGACAAGACCTGAATTTCGAATGGAACAAAACCAAGCAGAAATAATCGTCAGGGCCTCTCTGTTCTCCACAGAGAAGTTCAAAGAGGGCAGAGACATTTCAAATGCCTTGTCCGAGGCCCCGGCTGAGCCCTTCCCACCATACTCAGGTGAGGGCTAACGCTCGCTGTCAGAAGGCAGCTGTATTAGGGTTTTGTTCTGCTGCTGAGAGCAGCCCCAGCGTTTGCTTTCCAGTCAGGCTCGGAGATAACGGGCTACGTGTCCGGTTACGCTGCGTCTCTGGTCCCTTTCCGATGCACGGAGGGTGAAGCAGCAGGGGAAAGAAGATGCATCACTGTTTGTAGCGAGGCAGCAAAGTCACCAAAGGAAACTTCCGCCTGCAGGGCCAACGGCAGATTAATGCAGAGGCCCTGGGCCCGGCGTGCTGAGCGGGCAGCAGGGAGTTACTGGGAAGGGAAGATCAGGGAACCCCGGAGAGCAGGATGGGAGGACAAATCACTAGGGGTCTGCGGAAGGAAGCTCAAAGGAGACAGGAGCTGCTCAGCACAAATGGGGACTTGGGTCGCCTGCGAGGGCACCCGTAGAACGGTCCCGAAAGCAATCTGGAGTGCAAGTGATGCAGCCAGTCCGCGTCGAGCTGGGGGCAGATGGGATCAGAGAGGAAGGACAAGGATTCGCGGCCCAACACCTCATATTGCCGCCACTGCTTTCCTCCCTTGACCACAGGAGTCACGACGGAGCAGCACAGAGCCCTGGAGAGCGGCCTGCCCCTTGCATTTAAAAAGCCCACGATCGAAGTTGCCCGCTGTCAGTTACCCGCCTCTGCTCCCCCGTCTCCCAGCAGCAGCCTGGGTCGGACACGGATTAGCCAGCAGCTCCTCGGTCAGCGGCAGTTCTGCCAAGGACAGGACCGGAGCTGCCATTTCCCCGGCAACAGCAGCAGCTGGAGATGGCATCAGATGACGGAGAGAGGTGGAAAATCTTGTTAGCGTCCCCGATGATTGATCCCGCGGGCCTGGGGGGAGCAAGGAGCAGCAGGGAGCAGAGCGCAATCTAATTGCACTTGATTCTTTGAAAGAGGCTGGGCGGGAGCTCCGAGACACAGCCAGCACGGGGCTGCTCGTCCTTCGGAGAACCCGCCTCCCTGGCTGCGTTCCCCTCCACTGCACAGCACCGGCCCGCAGGCCCACAGCACCCTGCTAGGACACTCCGAGCACGCCCAAGACAAGCCGGCGGCTGCTGCAGATGCACGAGCCTGTGCCGGAGAGTTCGTGTAACACGTGCACTATTCCAGCCGTGCTGGGACAAAGGGACACCTAGAGGGCACATCTGAAAGAGGCGGGACCCGATCACAGCAGCGGGAGCCCTGAGTTTGCATCCTGGTTCTATTGCAGACTGCCTCCATGGCCTCTGACAAGTCACTCCCCCTCTCTGCCTCACCCCGCCCCCCACCAAGACCCCTAGGGCAGGGTGATGCCACCACCTATCCCCCTGCCAAGGGCTGATTACTGTGCACGAAGCCCATCGCAAACCGTACAGCACCAAGCACCCTCTTCAATCAGGTGAATGGCTCCGGACCTGCCAAACAATCAGTGCCACCCTGCACTAATCTGTTAGCTCTCCACCACCGGTTCTTGCGGCCGGCAAGGTGGCAAAGGTGCAGGGCTGCGGCGCTCATCGGAGCGAGCGACGTTCTGACAGATACACTCCCAGCCACGTGAACCCAAGTTCTGAAACACTCAGAACGGACGAAAGGCCTGGCAGGGCTGCAAAGGGCTAAGAGCGCTCCCACGACAGCCCGGATTTTAACAACAGAAGAGCTGGCTCAGGGAATGCTGGAGCCACTCCTCAACTTAGAGCGCCGGCCTGTCTCCCCTCCCCAATTCCAAGCCACGTTCACCCGCACATCTTCGCCTGTTGCGAGGCCCCCTCGGATTCGCCACAGAAAAAACTTCAGGTGTAGCTTCTTGTAGATCTAGGAATCTAGTTGGTAACAGTGGCCAATTTCAGCCTCTCTTAGGGAAAAGACACCCTCTCTTCAGCTGCAAGTGTTTGCAACAGCACCCACTGGTGGTCACTGAGATTCAGAGCTTGCCCGAGTGGCACCTTATTGGTTGAAGCTGCTAAAATGAAGAGCCCCCCTGGATCGCCTGTTTTGAAAAGATGGGCTCTCAGTGCCAAAGATGGGCAGGGGGCAGCTGGTGTGGGGAGACACGTGTGAACAGTGCGTGTTCTGAGCCACCACTCCGGTCAATGCCATAAATGGGAAAATTCCAGCCAACCCACACCTGGTTTGTTTAAACCGAAGTTAAAAATAACACATGGGAGAGAGGCGGAGCAAGATTCCAGCAGGGTCCGGCTTTCGGTTTGTTACGAATGAATGTAAATCTTCCTTTTGTGTACAAGTGAGGATTTAAGGGGTTTTCCGGGCAGAATGAACACACACCGTGCCAAAGCCAGGCCGGACTTGGAAACTGCAGCGAGATGGATGAACAGCTGTAGATCTCCTGCGTGGAGGGAAGCACAGACTGATGGGCCACAAAGACCCACTGCAGCAGGACAGACTGCACAAAATGAAGAGCAAAGAGAATGTCTGGGTTTTTTTTCTTTCTTCAAATGAATAAAAAGCGGCCTCCAGATAAAGTCAGGTGAATGAACTGCAGGCATCTGGGCTGGAACTCCGGGTTCCAGTTAGAAATGGGAGCGCGGCAGCTCCATACCCTCGCCCATCGCATTTCCAGGGCAAGCCCGCTCAGTAAGTAAGTTAACAGACCTTTCCCAATTGTCAGCCCTGCAAATGCAGCCTGGGGATCAAAAACCTAGCTGGGCTCTTTCCGCCTCTTCCATTAGCGACAAGTAAGAAAGATCCTGAAATTAACACACAAGGCCAAACAAGATCAGCTTTCACGTGCCATGATGTGCGGCCACTTCTAGGGTGTGCTGGTTAACACCGCACAGGAACACTATGCAACAGCTTAGGACAGGAGATGAAGGATGCTGAGCGCAAGTGAAAATAGTCAGGGAGTTTAGGGCCCGGCTGGAATTTGGCCAGGGCAGCAGGGTTAACAGTCCTACTGCTGAGAAAAGCGGATCGGAATCTTTAATGTGCATTGGTGGTCAGGACGCTAGTGTAAGAGGCACAACACTTGCGCCACAATAATAGTGAGGACCCTTGTGTGTTGTGGGAGCCTCTCAGGACACTAAGTGCTGCACACGCCTAGGAAAACAGGCTCTGCCCCACACAGCATGCAAGCCGAATGACAAACCGCAGATCTAGGGTGAAGCTGAGGCTACAACATGCATGCAGTGTGGGTCCGGGCGGATGTGTAGCACAGGAATTACAGACTCCTCTCGGAGAGGGCACACAACCCAGAACAACGGCCTCTCAGCTTCCTCGTCGTTAGCTGGGTGTACTGCAGCATGACAGACCCCCGATCTTTGGGGTGTGGGGGTGGGGGATGTGACTCAAGAGACGGTTAATGGCGTCTGAGGGAAGAGAGCAACCCAAAGTCAACAGCTCAAGTTCCCGCAGAGCACCTAGCTCATTCAGTTACTTCTACCTGCCCCTTCTGCGGCGCGAGGGAAACCCTGGCGCATGTTTACCTAGAGTGCGCCAGGCTGCAGCCCCGATTCCGGCTCCTCACGGATATTTTGTTAAAATTTTGGGTGCACTTTTCCCCTCACCTTTTTATTTACGCACTCCCTATCCGTCGCCCCACAAAGTCATGGGACCTCCTGGTCAACCTCCTCCTGGCCCTGGCGAAAGCGGCCATCTATAAAACCAGGGAGAGGAGGTTGGCCGATGGAGTCTCCTGTGACTGTGGGGCCCGTTTCCAATCCTCCATCCGTTCACGTATCCAGGCAGAGTTCCTCTGGGCGGCGTCCACTGACTCCCTTGACGCCTTCGAGGAGCAGTGGGCGCTGTCCGGTGTTCTCTGCTCGGTGTCCCCGTCTGGTTCACTTCGCTTGACCCTTTGACCGCACTCCTGTCTCCCTGTTCTTTTATTAGTTGTCCCCCATCATTTTTTGGTCTCCAGGTCCTGTGGACCCCGCCCTTAGGCTTCGCCTGCCCACTTCCTGGATCCCAATAGGATGAGAACAAGTCTCCTTGCTGAGGCCAGCCCTGAAGCTGAAGGACCCGATTCAGGTTTTTCCAAGCAGAAGGAAACTCGGAGAGGTCCCTCCCACGCCGCCTGCGACCCCAGAGAGCCGGGGAGCGTACCTTGCTGTTCTGGATCAGCCGGATGATGTGTTCGAAGCAGTTGTTGCTGAGGAACATGGCTTGCAGGACTGGCCGGTCGCCACAATTCAGCATTTCTGGAATTGCATCTGAAGGCGAGAGGAAGAGAGTCATCCATCAACACAAGCCGAGAGGGGAGCAGCGGCTGAACCTCACTCCATGGCAGAGTCGCGGGGAGAGGAGCAGAAATAAGGCCCGAGGGCCATGCAAGTGAACCCGGGAGGCTGGGACCGCCAATAGCTGGGTTAGCAGGCCACACGCGACCCACCCCCCGAGCTCCTGGGGGGACAAGAGGGAATTTGGAAAGCGGCCGGTGCCTAATTTCTAGCAGGGTACAGAGATCGTCCTCCCCTCCCAGAGAGGCGCTCGATGGAGAGAGGCAGCCACTCAAAGAGGATGCCGATTTCATGTCAGATGAACGGCCAGGCCTTGCCGACGTGAGGCGGGGTAGCCTCGGTCAGCACCAGGGGCATACGAGCTGGTGCTGAACCCAGGGTAACAGCAGGTGAAGACGAGACGACACGCGGTTGAGCCCTCCCTTAGGCAGGGCTAGCCAGGGTGGTTAAAACCGGGTGGATAGCCATGCCCAGTCTTCACTAGCACTCCCAGCAGCGGCCGAGCCACATTGCCCTGGTGCCCTGGGATGTGGAGCAGCTTGCATCGCCTTGCTAGGGACTATGGGACTAACCCCAGGGACAGCCTCATCTCATTCCACTACCCCATCAGCGTTGTGCACGGCCAGGGAACCATACCCATCTTGTGCGGGAAAAGCTCACCGCCCCAGAGCCCTGTCCCCCCCCGCATCCCGGGAACTCCAGGCCCAGCTCCTCCCAGAGCAACCTACCCAGCATGTTCACCCTGAGAGCAATCATGCCCTCCTCCCAGCGAGCGGCCGGTGGGCCTTCCAGAGAGGCCATGGGCTGGTCGGAGTTGAGGACCTTGAAGTAGCTATCCAAGATGGTCCTGATCTCCACCTTGCGCTGGCCCGGGTTGCTGGCGTGCAGGATGTGAATCATTCCCACCAGGCTCTTCAAGGTCAGCTGCAGCAGTTTGGGGTCCTTGGTGTCTCCGTTCCGGGGGGAGCACCACCGCCTGAGCACCAGCATGAGGACCTCAACAGAGGCCGGCGTGATCACCTGCAGGGCATTTTGCTGTTGAAACAAAGCAGCCCCGTTAGCTGGCGCCCCAGGATTCTCAGACCCAGGGCGGGAATCGCGCCAGCGCGCTGGGCATTGTGCAGAAACACACGTGCACCGCGCTCGGCATGCTCACGTGCGACGCGATTTCACGCACAAGGGGCTGGGAAGCTGGGCCTCAGCAGGTGTCAGAGACTCCCCTTCTGCTAGCGCAATCTAGCTTCCCGCAAGAGCGTCTAATGCTCAAGGCTTGGGTCTGTCCTGCAAATGCTGTCCAGTAGAGGGCAGTAACGCAGTCAGGCTAAAAAAGCCATGAGATCACGTCGCCCTCTACTGGCTGCAACTTACAGGGAGGAAAGCAGACGGAGGATGGGGAAGAAAAGGAGCGAAGAGGACGACGATAGGAAGAAGGAAAGTCGGTACCTGCAATATCTGAAGTGCACCCATTGCGAATCTGTCTCAGACAGCCTGTGCCCCACAATCCCCCCCTCCTGTATACCTAAAGCACCAGGAGCTGCCATAGGCTCCTCCCAGGACCCAAATCCAAGCAGTGCTCTCATCTCTTCCCGCATCACCCTCCCCACCAGTAATAAAGATGTGGCGGATGGGACGAGAGATTCCATGGGGCCTCGCAGGGCGACGCGAGGCCAGACACCGGGAACGCTGGTTTTCAGCCCTACTCTCGGCAGAGGCAGGATTCCGAATGCCTGAGAGGGGCAAGGGTGTGGACATGACATATTGCCTTTTTCATCCCTAGATCACCCAGGAGGATCGGTATCATTATCCCCATTTTATGGGCAGGGAAACTGAGGCACAGTGAGAGAAGGTGACGGGCCCAAGGTCACCCGCAGGTATGGGGCAGGGCTGGGAGCACAACCCAGGTCTCCTGATTCCCAGTCTAGTGCCCGCTGAGCCACACCGCCTCCAGGTGGCTAAGTATCGGTGTGTCAGACTCCCAGGGCCTGAGCCCCGCTCCTGTAAAACGAGGATAACATCCTCCCTCCGCCTTGCTGGTTGACCTGTGACCTCCTCCAGGCAGGGACTCTCTAGACATTCGTGCAGCACCTGGCACAATGGGCCCCGATCTTGCTGGGGCCCGTAAGCGCTGCTGCAATACCAGTATTTTCCCCCTAAACCAACACAAGGGACATTTAAAGGCAGCGCTGGCTCCGTTGGGGCTGTCAGGCCAGCCGAACGCAGCCAGCTCCACATTACGCCTCCCCTGCTCTCCAAGGCCATCCCACTAGCTGCGGGGCGACAAGTGGGAGTGAGCATACAACAGGCGGCAAATGCAGAGGGGATCCAAGCAGTTTGCTTTTATGTCCTAGAAATGTGGGGCTGGAAGGGACCTCGAGAAGTCGCCTAAGTCCAGCCTCCCCACCCTGAGGAAGGTCCATGAAAAGCTACACCATCCCCGACAGGTGTTCGGCCCCCCCGTCCTTAAAGATCTCCGGAAAGGGGTGTGGAATCCCGCATCCTTGGTCATCAGACATGCCACGCCTGCTCCCCCCTCCCCCACCTCTCCCTCCCCAGGGTGGAGCTTGGCTTTCAGGAAGGAGGGGACCCCGCAGTGGCTAGGGCCGAGTTACCTTGGCTCCAGAGATAATGGCTCCCAAGAGGTGGATGAGTCGCAGCTGGAGCGCTTCGGGAAGCTGCACCTCGTCCTGGAAGCTCCCTGCAAAGGGCAAGCGGGGAGAGCGGTTTAGCCGGTCAGCCGGAGACTGAGCACCAGTCTCTGGAGGGGGGTGGATTTAGCTCGACCCCAAACTCCCACTTCTGGGGCACATGGAGAACCTGGGTTACCGCTGAGCAAAGGCGGGGGGGTAGCAGGTTGGGAATCAGTGGGGTGCGAGCACGGGGCTCTGGGGGCACGACTGCTGGTGAGATACCCTGGATGGGGAGAGATCTCCCAGCGTACAGTCAGCGGGGGCTGCTCTAGGACGTGCAGCAGATGATCTAATGGTATATGGCCATTACGAGCGAACACGGGGATTTTCCCCTCCACTTGTGGCACAGCCAGAGCCCTTACCCAGGCTGCCAACCACTGGGGATCAGAGGAAGAAGGGGCCTCTCTTGGTTACATTTTCTTCACCGTGAGCGAGGAAGGCTGGCCTTATGGGTACTGTGCCGGGCTGGGACTCAGACCTGCCACAGGCGCTGCGTGTGGCCTTGGGCACGTCAGGCCTGACTCGATGCCTGCTGAAATCAATGGAAAGACTTCCCGGGGATCTGTATCAGAATCTTTGTCACTTGGTGCCTCAGTTTCCCCACCAGTAAAGCCAGGATGACACGGCTTCCTTTCTTTGCTAGGTCTATTTAGACTGTGAGCTCGGTGGGAGAGGGACTGGCTCTCACTGGGTGTATGTACAGCGCCGAGCACACGCAGCCTTCATTTGGGTTGCCCCTCTAGGCGTTACCACACTACACATTATAAATAGTAACTTAGGGCACACTCAGGTCGCCGCCCTGTCTCCAGAGGTGGAGTAAGTCATGCCAGTTAGGATGGGGCGGTAGTGCCCGTTGGGAGACCAAGGATTTGAGTCCCACTTCTAGTTTTGCCACTAACTCACCATGTGGCCTTGGTCTAGAATTTTTCTGGGCCTCAGTTTCCCCATCTGTAAGAGGAGGCTGACACAGCTGCCCCTCCACCCCCAGCTCTTCACTCACTATTTGGAAAGCTCACCTCCTGCTCCTTGGCTGGAAGATGTTACCGAAGGGCAAACACGCTCTTATTTAAAATGGACCCCAGTGAGCTTACGGGAGGGAGCCCACCCCGTGCAGGGAGGGAGAGTGGCTGCCTTCCCAGATCAGAGCTGTACCGCTGTAGGGTGGGAACGCTCCCTCGGTCCCGCTGTGATAGGGATGTCGGGGGGATAGAGGGGTGGGGAATTCTCTCATTCTGCCCAACAGCGAAACCCTCCCGGTGTCAACCCCAGCCCAGAGCGTGCGGATCAAACAGAACGTGACGGGCGCTCGGGAAGCGCTTTGAAGATGAAAAGCGCTCCGGCTGGGTGCGGCAGCCCCACTTCCTCTGGCTGGGAGAGAGCTCGCGGTGCAGCTACTCTGGGAGGCAGCATCTCACCTAGAGGAAGCATCCAGGAAGCCAAAACCCAGTTTCCTACAGGAAAGACCCCGGGAGGATATAAACAGACGAGCGAAACGCTACTGGGCCCCTCAGCGCTCACGCCAAGGGCTGCTAACGGCGGACTGGTCAGGGACTGCTCAGCCAGCGCCCTGGAACGCCTGCAAGCAGGCCGTCGTGCGAAGCCAGTGCAGGGAACCCTCGCGGCAGGGGGAGAGGGGAATGTTCTCCTCCTCTAGTTTGGCTCTGCCCACACCTGGTTCCATTCCCAACCTGGGCTCCCCTTATGGGGGTCCCGCTGCCCCAAAACAGTCACCTCTCAGGCCACGGGGTCTCCAGCACTTATGCTGCCACCTCCATCAGCTCCCCTCTGTTAGCAGACCCAGTAGAGAAGCCAGGAACTTTCTCCCCACCAACCCCCCAGGTCAGGCTGAGTCAGCGTGCGGAGAAGCCTGCCCTGCATCGGTGCCTTGGGCTAGCACGACATTCACGTGTCGAGCGCGGGCCGGGAGGTGAGCGCAGCATTTCCCTCCTAGTGAGGGGCACGGCGACTGCTGGGGGAGGAGGGTGACGAGACCAATGGCACGCGACCCCGGTCTCTAATCCTTGGAGCATGGCCAGTCCCCAGCCCGGCCTCTCCCAGGGACCACGAAACTGCTCCAAGTCCCAGCAGGCCCGGAGCAGGCCAAGTCGGTGCAAACTTGCTCCACAGGGCTCCACGTTTCAACGCTCTCCTTGCAGGACACAAAGCTGACGGGCTGTTAGCTCACAACTCATCTCCCCTCTCCCCCGCGATAGGGCCGCTGCGCAGAAAGGCAAGACCAAGAGCCAGGTACATGTACACTGCTTGCCAATAGTTCCTACTCCTTTGCCAATAGTTTCCGCCTTAGTGGTAGCATCAGAGGCCTCGTGGCTCAGGCACTGGAGGGGGACTCGAGAGGCAAATTCAATTCCCAGCTCTGCCACAGACTCCCCTATGTGCCCTTGGACAAGTCACTTAACCGTGCTGGGGGGCTCAGGGTTATGAGGTATACCAAGCATGGTAAGCGTATGTAGTCAATATTGGTCGCTTTATCATTCCTGTTTGAGTTACCATACTGCCCACCCAGGATCCGAGGCCCATTACGCGGAATGCTCCACACACACAAAATACAAAAGACCAAGGACACGTCACACGACCTTTGCACAGCGACGTTTGTGCAGACCATCGCACGAGGCTTTGCAGAGAGCGCGTTTCACACCTCACTGGGGAAAACAACGCCAACCCAAGGGAGAAAGGAGAAACAGCATAACAGATGGATTAAAAGCCATCCAACCAACACAGATGCAATGCACCGAGATTCGAGAGCAGGAAAGACGCCTCCTGTGAGTCACCACGCTTCTTTCTCTAAGTCACTTAATCATTCCTCACATCTTCCCTTGACAACTTCCTGCTGGCTTGAGCTATGAGGACCAGCGTCTGGCTAGAAACACTCACTCACCTGGGTTACAAGCACCACCATCCTGGGTAGGTCAGAAGGCAAGAACAGTGACTTTACATGGTTTACTCTCTTCATTTCAGAGGCAAAGGGACTGCTCCGTTTCACTTCTGTTGCTAGTCAGTTTCACATTCCGGGTGTCATGGGCTACCTCCAAGGCAAACTTATTTGGGCAGGAAAGACAGGGATGGGGTTTAGATGGGTGTTTTCTTAAACAAAGCCCTTCTCAATGGAAGTTTTAAAAAAAACCCTCATGGAAACACCTCTTGACCTTCAGCATTAAACATCTTCTGTGGCACTAGCATCTCTGCATGCCACACGCATGGTTCAGGGAGCTGGTAACGGGGCATCCAGCTTGGATTGCTGTTTCACTTACAGGAGACTGCAGTGCTGTCCAGGCACCGTACAGCTTAGTGTAGTACTATTACAGGGTTTGGGGCCAGGGCACGGTGCAGGAATCCTTGGGGGAGATGTTCTCTGGCCTGGGTTAGGAGTAGATCAGACTAGACTGCCTCAGTCTAGGCAGCCCTGGCCGTAGGTTTGTAATGCCAAGCTTTGGCCTTCTCTAGCTCCATTGTTCAGAGGATTTCCAAGCACATCATGCTGGGGTTTATTTAGAGGCTGGAGAGGCATGTGTCTCGGCCGGTTTAGACACAACCAGTCCTGCATCTTGGCAGGGGGTTAGACTAGATGACCCTTCCGGTCCCTGTGGGTCTATGATTCAACGCTGCTTCTACAAGACCTACGCCCGGGGCCAAGTCTGAGCTGACCCATTTCCTTTTAAGGGCAGCAAGGAGCGTACCTGAGATCTCAGCATTTTTCATTGTAGATCTCAAAGCCCTTTACAAAGGGAGGCTCACGAGCATTCGCCCTGTTTTACAGCCGAGAAAGCCGAGGTACACGGAGACTCCCGCAGCACCACACAGCAATCTGGGACGAGAACCCGGCTCCCCGGTCGGCACCCCAGGCAAGCAGCAGGATGGGCACCGAGAAGGGGAAGAGCGAGGATGAGAGGAGCGAGGTTGTGAGTCGGGTGTGTGGGTTGGCAGCAGAAGGGAGGGTGCTACAGAAAAGGGAAGGAAACAAGAGACAGATTGGAGAAGATACCAGCAGGCACACGGTCAGAAGCTCAGCTACCTGCATTGATACAAACACCAGCCACCGAAAACCCCACGAGGCTTCACTGCCCAGAAGCGGGTTTTCCCCAGAGGAAATTCTGCCAATTAATGCCATGAGAAGACTCATGTGGAGACGCTTGTCCCCGGGCACAGCGTGTGCCTGACAGCTCATTATCTAGTAGGGCTGCTGGACGTGGGGCTCAGGGGAGGTTTCTCTGGTGCCCCCGATTCTTTGTGGGACAGGGTGGGATTTTAACAGTGCCGCAAAGGGCCCCAACCTTGCAGGTGCGCAGTGCTTACGGCCGTCGCTCCCAACAGGCACCGGGAGAAATCAGCCCAGATGCAAAGGGCGTTTTTCCTCCTAAAAATAACTGGGCAAGGGGATTTACACCATGTGGTCAGAGAAAAACTTCCTGCGTAGTTTTAGGGGCTTTTTCTGCCCTGTCATGACTAGAAAGGGGCTACCGATTAGCTTCCCCGCAGCAGTCAGATGCAAGTTCTCCAGTCACAACCCTGCAGCCTCGTAGCTCAGAGGCACTAACTTAGGTGTGTAAAATTAAGTGTGTGCGTGTGTGTGTGTGCGTGTGTGGCCTTCAGAAGGGTCCATCCAGTGAGGCACCCTCCTGTCTAAGACACACCAACCTGGCATCAGGCGCCTGGCAGGAGCTCCTGGCGTGGAGAGGCTGAGATACCGGAGGAAAAAGGAAGTCTACTGTTCCTGCTCTAGAAGTATCCACCACTCCGGTGCCGTGTGATCAATGGAAAATGGTAAATAAAGCATTAGGGGCACCCAGTCCTACCCTGAAACATCTGGAGTCTACGGCCTCCCTGTTGCACAGGGGAGCGCTTGCTGGTGCACAGAGCAAACCCATTAGCATGCAAAGGAAAGAACGCCAGTGAGGATAAATCCCCAGCTAGCAACAGAGAATATTAAAAACCCGAGTAGCCAACAAGTAACGTGCAATCAATCCACTCCAACAGGCTCCGCCCCCATGGGAATGGCTGCCTCTTCTAAAAGCAGTGCTAACATCCTGGCTTTGATTTCTGCCCCCGCCGCTCAGTCCTCTCATACACGTGTGGTCTAATTCAGATTAAGCACCCCAGGCCAGGGACCCCATCCTTACTTGTGCCCTGTATAGATATTGCTAATCCTGAACCAGGCCAAACTCTGAGCCCTGGGAGGTTACCCCTGCACTAGACATCCAAGTACCATTTGTTAGCTAATCAGATACTCACCGTGCTCAGGCGTTCTACTGGTCACTTCCAACATGTGTGTAAGTAACCCACACGTTCATACGGTCCAAAGTGTTTAATACAAGATCCAATCTAAAGTCTCCCAATGCAAGGAGTTGCCCTGTGTAGCTTATTCGCCATAATAAAATACAGGGCTTCAACTCAGCTCATCCATAAAGCACAGGACTTGTTCAAATCTGAGCCTGGATATAGATTTTGGATTTCACATATCCCTGCAGTTTCGGGGTGCCTGAATCCAGGTTTTTTCTGTAACCCCACCCCCGCTCTATTTCCTCCGACAGTACAGGCCTCCAGTTAGTCAGGAAGTTATTGGTGAATTCAAGTTAATCTTAGAAAATGAGGGGCTATGTTGAAATGGAGGTGGTGGTGGTGGTGGGGGGGGGCGATTTCATGAAACCCAACCCTCCCACACCCTAGTTAAAAAGTAACTTGTAAATGGGGAGAGAATTGTGTTTGCAGACTTTCTTCCTTCTTTATAGTGTTGTGGAAAAGCCTGGAGGGGTATTTTCAAAAATGATGTTTTCCATTAGAAATTCAGGTCTTGTTCTTGGAAGATTTCCAAGTACAGGACAATGAAAGAGGTTGTGTCATCTGGGAAGCAAAACCTACAAAGCTTGAAGTCAGATTGTCTAAAACTGTTTATTTTGTGTAATGCCGATTTAACTGCAATGCCCGAGAAACAGTTGGGAGAAAAGCTCTCAATAAAAAAAACAACAACAAAAAACCCTCCTTCGATGAAAGCTCCCTGGTCCTCCAACAAGACTTCCACCAAGAATAGGGAAAATGAGATTTTCCATTTCTAAAACAAACAAGAACTTGGGGGGGGGGGGGGAGGAACCAGCACTTAACTGAAGATGCTGGAATGGTTCATAAAGGGGTCTGTTTCTCTCAGTGTTTGAGTAAAGCAAGCACAAAATAAAGTTTAAGAATGAACAGAAATAATCCCCTTTCCCTAAATTGGGTTTCACTCCAGCCAGCCACAAAGTCCTCCAAGAACAGCAGGTTAGCCAAGACCTGAGTTTCTAATGTAAAAAAAATCACCAAGCTGGGGTGGGGGATGGGGCTTTCAAAAAGTAAAGAAAATGTCCAAAGCGTATTTCTACAGCACGGCAAGCAACCGGCTATTTCTCCCCCTTCCAGTCAGATCGCACTGGGCTTTTCATCTCCAATACAAAGGAAGGAAAGGTTCATTTGTGAAGTGAACGGGGTCAAGTCCAGAGGTCCATAGGCTGCAGCTCCTTGCAAGAGAGCCACACGCCCAGCTTTCTGAAACAGCTCCGCCCCATTCAATCAAGACTCTTCCTCTTTAGATGCCATCAGCACGCGGAGGGACATGGTAACGGGATGGAGCAGCAGCACGGACACCCCCCCTCCTCCTCCTCCACTTGCTCCTCGGGGACGACGTAGCTGGGAAGGAGTGGCTGGGAGGACCGTGCCACTCTGAGAGGCAGGACAAGCCCGTTTCCCTGTGAAACATGTTATCGGGCTGCTGCTAGCGCTGGTTATTTCTGGTAGCCCTAGCTCTCGGTGGAGAGCCCAACGAGACCGGCTGGGCGTGCTCAGTCACACTTCCCGGAGTCTCCATCATCACTTGGCGCTTGGATGGCACCAAGATGAGGTTGAGCCTGGTTGGCCCCAGACAGCAAACACACAACGGTGAGGAGACTGCACGGGGTGTACCGATGCTAGCCGCCGAGCCATCCCCCATGCCCAGCTCCTGGCCCATCCGATCGGTGCAGGCTCCCACCAGGAGGCTGGAAGGGAACTGGGGGGCCACCCACGCTGCTGCCCCAATTTGTAGCATTCCCCCTCCCTCTCTCTTCGCTGCCATTGTCCTCTCCTGGAGGGAGGCTGAAATGAATGAGCTCTTAGCAGCACCAGCTGAGATCAGGGCCCCATCGTCCTGGACACAGGAAGACAGTCTCTGCCCCACAGAACCTGCAACCTACATGGACAAGAGAGACAAAGGGCAGGAGGAACAGGATGTTCCCCCCCCCCCATTTTACAGATGGGGTGACATGGAAGGGCTAAGGGTGATCGTGCAGAGCTCCAAGTCCCAGACCGGCGCTTCAGCCGCAAGCCCACCCTTCCTTGCGCAAACAGCCAGGACGTTCCATCTAGTCCCCCTTACAGCACTTCCAAAGCCTCCCCCGTTGTGGTGCGTCTCAGCACTGCCAGTGAAAGCCCCCAGATGGCTCCCAAACTCCAGGCCTTTCCCCGGCCTCTGAGCTCTTGGTTCCACACAGGAATATCCCCCGCCCCTTTACTGTACAACGTTCCTTAGGAAGTTTGTTACAGAAGTTAACGAATCAATGAGCCGAGAGGGTCAACGTGGTCAGGCTCAGAGTCCAAGACAGCGAGGGCTCAGCTCCGGCAACGAAGGAATTTCCTTTGCTAGTTGGGGGAACCTTGCCTAGAAACTGACACGAGGCTATTTACCACCCCAGGGATGCGGGGTAAAAGGTGTTCCCAGGCTCAGCAAGAGGCACACGGCACATCTGGCCAAGAGCCAGAAGAAAGCAAGGAGCAAAGGGAACTCCAACCACCGTGTGGAATTCCCCTTGCAAGCCCACAGAGAATGGGCCCGGAAGGGATGGAAGGTGGCTTCGGTAGCTAGGAAAGCCCCCAGAAAGCCTTCCTGATGTCCAAGCAAAATGAGAACAAAACCCAGCCATTCAACGGCTCGCAGGAGAGTTTTATACACTGGCACACGTGACCAGGCCAATGCTACTGGGTGAAACTCGCTCAGCGTCCCAGTGGAGGGGTGTCCACATTACGAACCCCCTGCCCATTTGCAGACAGCCTCAGCAGAGAGGGCCCAGACTGAATGGGTCTGGAGAGTCAACTCCTCTCAGAAGCCCAAGGAGCGGGTCCTTCAAATTAAGCAGTAGGCACACTGCTATGTGGAGAAACAGGAGGTCCAGTTTCCAAGGCTGATAAACCGGTACCTTTCGCCAAAACTACATTCGCTGCCCATCCCCATTTGAAACAACGCACTCAGTCCCCACTCCTCTGGGATACAGGGACATGAGACGCAGAATGGGGTTCTGGGTAATATGCAAATACACTTTCTCAACATGTACTGCCGGCTCACAGCTGCCATCTGGCAGCGCTGGGGTCCCGCCTGTAGGGAGGAAATCTGGGAAGCGCAAGCATGCTTTTTGGGTGCACACACTGCTCTTTTCAACACCAGAGAGCCCCCAGTGCCAGGGAGGAGGAAATCAAGGGTCATTAAAGACGATAACAACAACTGCCTGCAAAGGCCTGGAAAGGTTAGGGTGACATTTTACTCCAGCATGGGGAAGGAAGGAGGAGGGCTCCTGAACAGAGAGATAACAGCACTGGAGACAGACGAACCTCCAACCAGAGCTGGAGGAGGGGGGAGTTGGTTGTTTGGCATTTACCTTGGAAGAAAGTGCTGAACTCTAGAGGCAAAGCAGCTGGTGCAAACTTGTATTTGCTTTTCTCTTTCATGCTGACGATTTCCCTAGAAACACAGGAAATGCAGGGGAAGTGAGACAGGATTCCAGGCAGGGAGCAGCTAACAGGGAGCAAGCCGGAGACGGGGGCGTTGAAATTACTCGGCCCAGGCATCCGAGTGGTGCAGCGCCGAGTCATTCGATGCCCGTGTGTCATGCTGCATGTTTGAAATGGGGAGTGACGTGTCTCGAGACCCCACTCTCCGACACCCCACACCGACGGGTTTTATGCAATGGATTATGGCTCATCATCGAATCCGACCCCGCAGGCCAGCCGAGCTGTGACAATCTGCCTAGACCACAGCACAGCGAGACCGTCCACACAGGACGCTGCTCCACACCCACTCACCCGCTCAGCTGCCGCCTCCACGTCTGGTAGGGGTCGAAGAGGCATTCGTAGAGGTGCAATGCATAGACGGTTACGGTCTCTAGCTGAGACCTGCTGGGGGCACACTGCTCCGGGGTGTTCTTTAGCTGCAAGGATAGAAGAATTAATTAATAGAAGAAGGTTAATTTGCAGCATAAAAAAAAAAATCTTCGTCCACCCCCCACTAAATAATCTTTAACATTCAGTCGTGCTGCTGAAAAAGTGCCTTGAAGATGTGAAGTGCTATTGAAACGCTGTATTATTATTCAGGCTAATTTCACTCATTTGATCATAAGCTCCTTCAGAGGAAGTGGAAGAGGGTGTGTTTGAGTCTGTCGCAGCTGCTCTTGAAGGTGACCTTTATTATTACTACCTCCCTCCAGAGGACATGGGCTGGGATCAGAGGGCCTTTCTGCGCCAGGTGCTGTACACACACACACACACTAAAGAGACAGTCGCCACCCTGAAGATCTCACAATCTTAACATATTATGGGGCACAACAGGGGGAGATGAACAAAAAAGGCAGAGGGGGAAGACAGCCAAATGACTGGGTGTGTTCTACTAAGCAGCAGTTGCAATGTGGCCAATGACCACAAAGGATGTTTTTAACAACCCAACTGACCATTTTGGCCTCCTTTGATAGACAAACGCAGCCTGAAAAAGCTTGTTTGATTTTTATTTTTATTTTTTTTATTTTTCCTGGTTGTTATTTACCTTTGAAATCCCCCCAGATGTCAAGTCGGATCATTCCTGGTGTATCTGGATGACCTCTGGGAGGTCTTGGGGATGCTTACCGTGGATTTTAACAAGGGCTGAAGGTGTGGAGTCTTTAACAAAGGCTTCCTTTTCCAAAGTGTTGATTAGTCATTGGCATTAAACGAATGCCACCAAAAAAGTTCTACGCAGCCTAATTAAAAAATCCCTGCCCCTTGTAATAGCTCAACTTTTCCTCCCTACATTTAAGAGGTCACCATTCAGCTCTCCACTTAGTCTTGCATGCTAGGCAGGATCTGGGTGTCTAGCGTTAAACAGGGAGCATCATTTTCAAGCTGCCTTTGTTCATCATAAAACACAATAAATCAGGCACACATCCAATTTGTTTCATCTTGGTGGGTCACCTGTAAGGGGTGTTGGAGAGGGGAAGTGAACCGGCCAGTCATCAGAATTTCTTTCGAGTCACGGCGGTCCCCCAGAAGTCATGAAAATGTGAGCTCCATAATTTAACAGTTCGCCCTAGCATAGGGGTCCCACTCAGAGCCACACATTATGGCATTACATGGTACACGGGACCTTGTCTGGGCCTGCTGCGCTGGCATGAGACTCACTCACTGAGTGCAGAACGTGTGCGCAGCATAGGAACATGTCACTTCATGGCTGTTCTTTGCGGGATTCAGTGTCCTGGCCCCTGTATGACAGGTCAGTGACACTTCATCCAGGATGAGGCCTTAGAAGAGAGCTCTATGGCCCAAGAGCCAGTATATTCCAGGTTCACAGATTCGAAGGCAGAAGGGACCACAGATCTAGTCTGGTCTCCTGTATCACATAGGCCAGGGGAAACCCTTGCGTTTTGCTGGCTTCTTAATATCAAGAGCCCATATATGGATTTCGGGTTGATTTCAACAACAGGCCAAGCCCAGATATAAGCATTTCCATGCTCACAGCGTGCAACTTCCACTGCTACAGGCGGGGTTATCTAGAGGCCCCGTGTAACGGGGCACGTGCCTGGCACAAACACACATGCTAGGAAGCCGGCGCTTACCTTGGCTGTACATGCCACCAGCAACCTAAGCACCTCGTGGATAAAAACTGGCGTCCTGTCGGCTTGGACATTTTCTAAATTCCTGCAAGGGAGAAAAAAAAGAGGGGGAGGATGAGAAATTCTTGCAATTGGTTTAGATAAGGAGCGGCAAAGGGGAAAGCTGTGTACAGTTTGGTTGGCAATAGATTGGCGAGGGGGGGGGGGCGGGGTGTGTGGAATCAGCTGAGGTTTGCCTGGTTTTTAAGTGAATTAGTCTATCACCACAGTAGTTAGTGATTTATCCATGGCTCCCCTTGCCTCAGGGCAACTTTTATATAGTGGTCACATCAGCTGGGTCTTAAAAAAAGAGAGCCATCACCCTACCCCTCATACTGTCCCAAGGTCAATTAACTCAACCGGATGTGTCTTTCACTGCACTCTACAGGCACTCAGGCAGATGAGAACAGTCTGACAGAGAGACCGAACACCCGCAGACAGTAACGCTGACCCTGCTGTCTGACTAGCATTTCAGAGAGTGCTTGTTGGAATAAGTGCTTGAGCAGGGTAGCAAATGGGGCCGCTCACTCCATTCATTCCCAAGAGGAGCGTTCTCCTCTAGAGCATTGGCCTGCTAAACCCAGCGTTGTGAGTTTAATCCTTGAGGGGCCATTTAGGGAACTGGGGTAAAAATCTGTCTGGGGATTGGGCCTGCTTTGAGCAGGGGGTTGGACTAGATGACCTCCTGAGGTCCCTTCCAACCCTGATCTGCTACGATTCTAGATCTGCAATGGGGAGGCACTGGAGTGCTGCAGAGGCAGACCTGTGCTTGCCCCAGACGGGAAAGTAACTGAAGGCAGAACCAGTCCCAATCCTACAGCCAAGCCCATTGCCCTCTCTGGTGGAGTCCCACCCAGCTCTCCTCAGCTAAAGGGAAGTCCCTTGATAATTGCCACGGAGGGAGGCGGTAAACTGGAGGAAAGGAAAGGGCGGCCATGTCTGTCCATCCACCTCCCCAGCAACGGGGCAGTCAGACAGGGCGAGAGCCCTTCTCAGCCAGGGGAACTTTCCGATCATGACACACAGAGGCAAACGTACAAATTCCCTTTAGGAAATTAACTCAGTCCTAAGTGAACGTTGCCTAGAGAAAAGTGAACTTCCAAGAGCTGGGGCAGAAGGTGGTGCCGGGAAGAGCTTACCAGCCCCTGCCAGACAAGGCCAGCTTGGATCTGGTGTAGAGCAGGTTCCAGCCACATCAGTCTACAATGAGCCATCACAGCCCCCAAGATTCTCCTCTCCCCTACCAACCCCTTAGTCCAACTCGAGCATCAGAAAGAACCTTGATGGGCAAAGGACTTTTGAAATGCTCCCAACAGACATGGGGGAGTGGGTAGCTCAAGATTTGCACTGGTCAAGAATTTTCCATTTTTTGCGAAAAAGCGTCCGCTTTCTGTGGAAACCTGAAGTATTTGGACATGTTGCCTCACCTCCCACCCCCATTCTTCTCTATGGGCTGAGCTCTCTGGTCAGACTACAGCTCCCATGATGCATTACCTCCCCTGACCAAGAGGAGAGACCATGTTGCTGCATAGGAGATGTAGTCCACCTAGGGAGCCCACCCCATGGATGAGAATAGGGGTGTGAGTCACCCAAACTACAACTCCCATGAGGTATTGCAGCAGCACTTCAGAATTTAAGGTCTTTTGGATTTTGACTAAAATTTCAAATTTTTGCCAAGAAAAACTAAATTTTCTGCCAAAATTCCTCCCTCCGCCCCAACCAGGTTTAGTCAAGACCTCTCTTCTTGGCAGGACCAGTCTCTCAATTCCCTCTGTTCAGTCCAGTGTCCCCATCATGGTTGCATCTCCAGCCATAGCATTTGTGGTAACAATAACCATAGTGTGGCTAAACGCTCTGAGATTTGGGGTTCTGAGAAACCTCCTGAAAGCCCGAGTTTTGGGCCAAAAAGCCTGAAGTTCGATAGATATTGCCACCCACCTCCCCCAGTGCCGAGCTGGCCAGAACTTCCACCGGGACCCCCTCCCTTTCTGCTGCCAATTAGCCCTTCTGGCCACAGCTTAGAAGGGAGGCCGTGCTGGGGAATGAAAGATGAAGCCCACAGCTGGCTGTGGAGAGCGAGGCAGGTGAGGGAGGTGATGGAGCCTGGTCTTGCTGAGGGGAATGGAAGGGGTAGCTTGCTGTCTGAGAACGTCCTCCCCTCCAATGGTTAAGAGAGGGGAGAAGAGCAGATCAGCCCAGCCAGAGGGTGTGAACGTCACTGGTCTGCACAAACAAACCACAAATCCTGACACACACAAGTCCAATTGTTCAGAATTGGCCCTTCTCCAGAGCTAAATATAAAGGCAGCGCCCGTTCCGGGGGTGGGGGTGACAGAGATGAGCCTTTGCAAGACTCGGGAGGAGGCAGGTGGATGGGTTCTCCTCAGAATCATGCTTCAAAGGGACCCTCAAGAGCTCAGTTAATGAGGACGGCGGCTGCCAAGTCTCCCAAGTCACTGGGTTGTATTTGAGGCCCTGGCTCCCCCCGGGCTCCACCGTGAACATGAGTCAATTATCAGCCCTTCCTTATCTCTGGCTGGCAGACGGCAGGCACCAGCAGGCAGGAATGCAGGAAGGGAGAGAAAACACGGGTTTCCAAAGCCCCCTTCCAGGACTAGCCGAAATTCACAGGCTGGGAGGGGAGGGGCGGAAAGGGGACAGACGGGACTCCCCGTGTCAGTGCGGAGAATGACAGAAGCATTTGGTGGGGGGAGTATTGGGGGGGGGGGTGGAGGACGGATCCACAGCCATCCAAGGAGGTGTGGCCCCCCCGAGTCTTATTTCACAGACCTGGAACAAAGCAGGGGTTCCTCCCAGCTGCAGCCCAACCAGAGGGAGTTCACTGGAAAGTGGTTGAGGTGAACCGGGACTGACTGAGAGGATTAAGAAGAATTGCAGGTCTCTTAACCCAGCTAAGCACTAATTAAGCAGGGGTGGGGGCGGGGGCGGGGAAGAGAGAATAACTGGTTACATGCATGTACATACATTGCAAACCATCTACATCATAGGTTGCAACTCCCACCGTCTCTTGCAGACGAAGGATGCCAGAAAAATTGCACGTGATAGGTGTCATGAAGAAGCAGGGCCGGCTCCAGGCACCAGCCCAGCAAGCAGGTGCTTTGGGGCGGCCAAGGGGAAGGGGCGGCACGTCGGGCTCTTCAGCGGCAATTCGGTCCCTCTCAGAGGGAAGGACCTGCCGCCGAATTGCTGCTGAAGAAGAAAGCGGCGCGGTGGAGCTGCCGCCGATCGCAATCGCGGCTTTTTTTCCCCGCCCCGCCGCTTGGGGCGGCAAAAACCCTGGAGCCGGC